CTGACCCTTGACCTTCGTGTAACCTCCAGCTGTTACGTTTTGTCAACCTCCTCGGTTGACTCGCTGTTGCTTCGTTGTAACTCGCTTCGTTTACAGTTCGATGTTCCGACACATCAGAAGCGTTAAATTACTTGTTTCCAACAGTTCGGAGTTTACAACGGAACTCTCCTGGAGGGGAAAAAAAAGCCATTACAGCACTTCAATTTTCCAAAAAATAACTAAGGAACTTGTGCTTTCAAGTTGGACCCAACTAGAAGGGGGGGGTCACTATTTTAGCTGCTGGCTTTAAGAGATGCGCACCACCGGTGGTGGCTCACACCTATCCGCCACAAATGAACCAATAAAGCAATGGCAAAAGCCTAACTGTACAATATCGTTGTACACATGATTGTACCGACTAACCCTAGTTATTGCAGTCCCACCGACGCGTTCTCCCTCCCGGCTATGAACTTAAAAAAATGATATCCCCTCCTTGTTCAAGCCTTGTATCTGCAAGCTGCTCTCTTAGCCCTCATGCACTGCCCCACCGCATCCCACCTCGCCATGCCCTGCTGCTTGTACTGCGCATACACACTCTGCTTCACACACTCCTTCCACACATCATCGCACCCTGCAGGCTTGTGCAGGGGGCAGTTGGCAAAGGGGTAGCGAGGGCCAGTGCCGAGGGAAAAGCTGCATAGGTTGGTGTTGAAGCCGTGAGCATTGCTGATTGCACACATGGCCTGATGAGAGAGGGAGGTGGAAGAAGAGAGGGAGGTGGAAGAGAAGAGGGAGGTGGAAGAAGAGAGGGAGGTGGAAGAGAAGAGGGAGGTGGAAGAAGAGAGGGAGGTGGAAGGAGAGAGGGAGGTGGAAGAAGAGAGGGAGGTGGAAGAAGAGAGGGAGGTGGAAGAAGAGAGGGAGGTGGAAGAAGAGAGGGGGGTGGAAGAAGCGGGGAAAGGGGGGGGGGGGGGGGGGCATGGTGTGACTTTCGACTGCACTGAAAAATCACTTTTCAAAGGTCGAAGTTGAACCAGTGGGCGTTGCTAATCACAGGCATGGTCTGTATAAACGAGAGACGGAAGACGTGGGGAACGATGGGGAACGAGGAGGGCGACGGCAGTCTTCAGACCGGAACTGAATGTTGAGCCGCTTCAGAAACGGACCATGTGGTTGATTGACCTCACCTCTTGTTTGTCTAACAATATGCTGGGAACATTTTGATTGGCTATCATCAGAGTCATCAAATACTGACCTGTGGGAATGAGATGCCGTTCACTTGGCCCGCAGACGTCCCCCAGAGCTCCTTATACTCGATCGAGAACACGGCCTTGTTGCGCAGAATGAACTCGTTGGAATAATCGCACTGGTATTTGCCGCTGTACCACGCGGAGCTGCTGAAGTCGCTGAAGTAAATGCAGCTCTCGATAATCGCCCAGTCAAAGAGGTTTGCCATAAAGGAGGGGGCGAGTGGGCCGGGGTTCTTTAGGCCCACTGACATGCCGTACCTGATGAGGGAGGGGGAAGCGGGGAGAAAAAGGAAGTGTTAGTCAAGTTTAGAGCACTGGGGTTCCTGAGACCCACTGGCATGCCCTAGATGATGTGGGAGGGGGGAGAAGGGGAGGAGGAGGGGGGAATTGTTGGGTTAAAGTGAACCACTATGATTGTTGGGAGCGATTGTTTGGGTTTTGAGAACCACGAAGATTCAGGGGGAAAGGGGGAGGGGGCATGTGCCGACGGGAGGAGGGTGGGGGGAGGGGTAAAGGTTGGCCTAGAAGGGAATTGTTTGTGGGGCTGGAAGGGTGGAGGATAAGCATCGAGAGTGAATGGATCTGTGTAAAGTGGAGGGGGGTGAGGGGCGGGTCGGGGGAAGGGGCTACACCAGCTCCAAGTTAGGAGAGACTTACACCTGGCGACATAACTCACTTGTGAACAGTGTTGGCGATCCATGAGTTGTATTTGAACTGGTCATTGGCAGTGATGGTGAATCGGCTGATGGGTTGAGCCATGATGTTGTTCGAATACGCATTGATGTTGTCAGGGTCAACCCCATCGCACCCCTTGCTCTTCGCCAACTGACATACAATAAATAAACAAAAAGAGCTTCAGACAATTGTTGACATGGGTGCTCATTGTAAGATTTACCGCGCGGAAATTCAGCAAGGTATGATGCAGCATGGTGCAGCTCTGCAAATAAGGGCTCTACGTGTTACAAATCGATATGTTACATCTCAGCAGGTTTGGTGTTGTCCAGCATTGAAACACAGAATCGCATTTTATTCCACAAGTTAAGTTAGCATGACTCACCTTGATCCACTTCTCCATGATTGGGATGACAATGGGGCTCTTGATGTCCAGCCACCTCCCTCAAGGCCACACATAGGTAACCGGCTTCCCCAATCACAAGGGGTTGATATACAGGGAAAGTGCGGATGCCTCACCTTGATGCGCTTCTCCATGATCGTCTTGACAATGGGGCTCTTGATGTCCAGCCACCTCTCCCCAGGCCACACCTCCGTGCACTGCTCGTTCTGCTCGAAGTGAATGGTGCACGCAGCAAGCAAATGGTCGACACAAAGTTGACGAAAGCGAAAAGCGTAATCTGAAAATTATCGACATAAGCATGTAAAAAAAAAATGTCTTGTTTAATTGCTGAAGAGGGCAAGAGAAAAGCCATAACGCTTGCGAACTGATAACAAATGTCAAGATCAGGTACCATACCCTGCAAGTGAGTCCCCCAATAACGGATTTCGGGAACTGTTTGTAGTCGCTGCGGTAATCCTCGGCGGTCCCGAAGCTGATGTAACACATCACCGCCTTTCCCGCGTTGCGAAGTTTCGCGATGCTCTTCGCCGTCAAGCTGGAGTCAACGGTGTAGACCTTCGCCGGGTGTGATGGATCCACGTCTAGAGGGTTTCGGAAAGAATTAAGAGCGAGCGATCAGAATTTCGACGCGAGTGGTAATTTATAGTACATTGTACGAGCGAGATAGAGACGACGGGTGACTAACAATGCGAGAATACTAGAATCCGAAATTTGAAGCTAATCGCAATGAAGGTTTTAGAACGAGCGATTGCGAAGAAGAAAACGAATAGTCATTAGTACCAGCGTCACTTCCGCTTAGTTGCCAGAAGAACGTGGTCCCTGGTTTCGGCACATACCACCCGTTGGCTCTCCCACAATGCCACATCGAAAGAACGGCAAGGAGGGCGAGGATGCTAGGATAAACGCGAAATAGAGCCATTGTAGCTGTTTCGCACCAATCGTATCAGCTTAGCAGGGTGCTGTCAGCGTGCTAGATGTCTGGTTCCTTTGTGAGCACAATGAGAGTACAATTCCAGGATGTATAGAAATTCTGGCGTGTGCCATCGTGTGGAACGAGTCGCAGCGAGCGTGAGCCATGTTTCCTAAGCTATCGAACGTCTTGCCACGTGGCAAACGGAAGCGAGTTTCATGGAAGCTCTCCAAGAAGAGCTACGTCTGTTAATTTCTCGCCTGGAGATCGACTATGGATAGCGTACAGTAACAGGCAGGAGGCAGCAGATGGGTTTTGTTCCTTGGGCTGCGTGATGTAGGAAGTGGTTTCTCGCCGAAGTAACCGATTCGCGGAATCTCGTTCGTAAATCGCGAATCCATAGCTAGGGTGATTTGTCCGCAAAGCCGAATCCATCGTTTTTCGCGAGCAGCTGGGAGGAAGTGTGGTGGGATCCAGCAGATTTCTGGGATCCAGCACAGGTGGTGGGAGCCGCATCTGCCAGGTCCGAGGCGGGGATCCAAGAAATCCGGTGACCAACAATTTTTTCCCCACGAAACCAACCTGAGCAAAAGTGGGTGGGACCACATGGATCCGCTATTGTCGTTGAGTTCTTTGAGCACGCGCTGGCGAAATAAGGTACATTTACAGCCCATTATAAATTTCGGTTGTCAGACCGTAAGGACGTGGTGCAGAACGCCTTGGCACGCCCCGACGCACAGTGGTGCACCAGGTTTCGAAGCTTCCATGCACACGGGAACCCGGTGCATCGCCTCGTCCCGGGGCGTGCCGGGACGATGCGATGCACTGACGCGTGCCGGAACGCCCCGGGGCGTGCTCTGGGGCGCGCCAGCATGCTCGAAAGGCTTGCGAACTCTCGAAATTCCAGTTACTAGCTGAATTGTCGCGGGAGGATCTCGATGAGAAATTGTTTGATGATTGCGACTTCTTCTTGGGGAGGGATCAATTGCGAGATTTGTTTAGCGAACAGCTCGGCGAAACTCTACCATGTAAACATTCCTGGCCGAAATTCGAATCTAAGTCTTTCGCCTTCGCCCATTGCTGGTCGAAGGCTCGAACTCAGCTCTTGGAAGGAAACCCGAAATTAAGACGCGTGCCACGGGGCGAGCTGGGGCGCCCCGGCACGCCCCGGGACGCCTCGGTGCACCGGGTCTGGACCCGTTCTGCACCACGTCCTAACGGCTACATGTCCCGGGAGTCTCCGCATTTCAATTTCCCTCACATGCACAAGCTGCAGGAACAGGAGAGAGGAAGGTGGAGGCAGGAGCGACGTCGCACTTCGGCAGACGAGGGTCACCAAGATGAGCAACGACGTCGCTCCTGCCTGCGCCTTGCGTTTCAGCTTCCTCCTCTAACCTCGCACCACCAATTCTTTTCTTCTTACCATTCAGGATAATTCTTTCAACGCGAAGACAGAACATGTTCACTGGAGCCTCGTTATCAGAGGAACAATGCGCCTCGCCACGTGGCATGAGGTTTGGAGAAAAGGTTTGGCGGTTTATGCTAGCCATGAAGGTCCCTTCAGCGCAACGAGTGGCTTTCACAGTATCGCTGTGTCCCGCTGCGGTTCGGCAGGCACACAAGCCGAAGCGCCGAAGCGACGGATGATTTGAATGCTTATAAAGCAGATGCATCCCGTGGCAAAGACAAACTACAGACTCTTTCCGCCTCCTTCTACACTACCTGAACGACTCACTTCGCGCGACGTAGTAGCGCCTCGGCACCTCTCAGAAACCACAACTCTACCGCCATGTCTATAATCGCAAAACTCTTTCGCGTCGTCGTCTCTCTGACATTCATCGCCGTTTGCGTCGCTGTTAACGTCACGAACAACGGATGGTATGTTCCCACACCAGGAACGTCCTTCTACTGGCAGATCTCAGACACGAACCTCGAGGCATCGTCGCATAACGAAAAGATATTCGATATCGACGGGTTCAGCGCGTCGGCGAGCACTATATCGAGGTTGAAAACGATGGGAAAGAAAGTGTTTTGCTACTTCAGCTTCGGGACTGCCGAGGATTATCGAAGCGACTACAACCAATTTCCGAGATCCACTCTTGGTGGACTGGTTTGTCAGGTGAGCCGGAATGCAAGGAGCTTCTGCACGTTGATTTTTTTTTATTATTATGATTATCATTTTCCCAATATTTATGTCAGGAACTCGATCATTCATTCACGAGCTGGCGTGACGAGCTTCGGTTTCTAACATCAGCCTTCCATCGTTTACCTTCAAATTTGCCTTTATGTTGGCAGAACGAGGATTGCTCGCAAGCCTGGCAGGGCGAGCGATGGCTGGACGTGAAGACGACTGCTGTGCGTCAAATACTGGAAAAGCGGATTCAGGTACGAAGAGTTTCAAGCAGGTCTTCGAGCGGATTGTACTACAAACACGCATAGCTCGAGAGAAGAATATGAGGGACCATCTTTTGCGTCAGCCTTTCGTGGTCTAAGTCCTGACTTGCCTCATCGACCCTGAACCCTAAACTCTGATCGCTTTTCCCATCCCTTTGACAGCTGGCCAAGCGCAAGGGGTGTGACGGCATCGAGCCGGACAATGTGGATGCGTACAATGGGAACATCATGGTTAAAGCCATCAGCCGTTTCACCATCACGAAAAAGGACCAGATCAACTTCAACTCGTGGATTGCAAATACAGTGCACAAGTGAGTCCGCCTGTCTGCTGCTTCAGTTACACTGCTGGACAAAGGACCTGTGGGACTTTTGGTATGGGATTGGCTAGAAATGGAAATTTAGCAGGTAGAAAGTAAGCATCTTCAGAAAATGTTGCAGTGGCCAGTAAGGATGATTTTGCAGTTCAGTCCAATCCGAGAATCTACACATTGACTCCACAGTGACACAATCCAAACCAACTGCTATGCGTCCGCCACACATATGAGCCAGTGCAGTGCGTGATCTTGTCCCAGGAATTCCAAGTGCTTGTACTTACATACAACCACCTTTCTCTTCATGCACGGCATATAAGCTTCCCTCAAGAGATGTAGCTCTTTATCTTCCTCGGATCAAGTGTTCACATGCTTCCACCACTTTCTTTCCTTTTCACCACACCTTTCTGATCAAACCCTTCCCCCCACCCATTCTCCCCCCTTCGCCACCCTTTCTTATCAGGTACATCATTCAGTTGCTTTAATCATGTTTTCTCCATGTCCCCCCTTACTTGTCAGGTACGGCATGTCAGTGGGTCTCAAAAATGCTGGCACCCTCGCTCCCGTTTACATGGCCAATTTGTTTGACTGGGCGCTGCTGGAAGAGTGCAACCAGTACACGGATTGGAGCGGTGGAGAGTGGTACAGTGGCAAGTATGGCTGCGACACTGCCAATGAGTTTATTCTTCGCAACAAGGCGGTGTTTGTGGCTGAATATGTGGAGAGCTGGGGCGATTCAGCAGGACTGCAAAACGGCATTCGGTTCCCACAGGTGAGTTGGATTTTCTCTAAAAGACTTGTGGAAGCGTGTTATTACAGTACATGGATTGGCATGGTGGAGAATGGTAAAGACGGTTGCGGTTATGCTATTCAACGAGTTAATTTTTCAAAACAACTCGAGTCTGCGGAGAGCTGGGCCTTGTTCGACTACGAACACAGGAGGGTTTAGATCCTCAAGGGATAGTGGAAGCATGCAACCTCGTGGATCGAGTTTTGAGCGTCTCAAAACTTGTGGTGGACGTCTCAAAACTCGTGGTGGAAAGTCTAGTAGCAGGGAGGAATGTGTGGCTTTGGCTACACCAGTGAGTTCGTTGTTCGCAATAAGCTGGTGTTGTTTTGCAAAATATGAGTAGCTCGAGGAACCTTCAACTGGAGCGCAGAGTGGATCATGGTCTTCAAAGGCTGGCCATACTTACTTACTTCAGAGTATCTGGAAACTTATGGTGGATGATGTTGTTCACTCCTGCCTTTCATATATTTCCTGCTTAAAGGCCACACCCAGAATTACCGAGTCGAGCGTGAAACTGTCACCAGTTTCACGCGATTGGTCCAAATTTTTTAGTGGTGTTTTTATGCGATTGGTTTTCCGATTTTCCCACCGAACCTCCTCCTGGGGTTTCCCGAACCTGCAATTTCCACGTTGACTTTGTTGTGTAATTCAGGCTTTGGCATTTAAGCTCATCATGCATTTTCCTTGCTGCTTTGGCTAACTCCTCGAATTCCATGATCAATCAAGTATGTCCAATCACTGTTACAATCTACCACTCCGTCTCTTACCCCTGGCTGTTTCTTACTCTGTAACTCACACAGGGTATGTGTGCTGACAACAATGCACATGGCTTCACAACTCGTCTATACAACCTGGACTTGGGCAACGGGCCGAGTTATGCATTTGCCAACTGCCTGCAGCACAAGCCTGCAGGATGCAACGTATGGAGGGAGTGTATCAAGCCTGAGGTGTATAACCAGTATAAGCAGCAGGGCATGGCAAGATGGGATGCTGTAGGCCAATGAGCCAGGGCCAGGAGAGCTGCGTGTAGGTATACTTGAAGCTCAAGGCCCAAATTGCGCAAGGTTAGTAATCTTGCGCAAGGGTTTGGGCTGGTGGTGTGGGGGTCAACACAAAGTCGAGAAAGTGTCGGGAGGGTGGGGTTGACTGTTTTCGCTGAAGCTCTCGCAAAACTCGCTGAGTTAGCAAACCCCAAGGCCAACTTTCAGTTTGGGGCCAGAGAGTCCCAAACTTGAAGTTTCCGCAGGGAGTTAGGGCTCGACCAATCAGGTTCATTCGGGCTTACTGAAACCCCACAGTCGCCGACTCGTAGCACCCAAAACAGCAGCTGAGATAAAAGTAATCTTGCTCAGCGCGATCCGCAATTTGGGCATAGAGCTTTAAGTTCTGGCTATTTTGTCCAAGAACAAGAATAGAAACATGTAGTTCTGTTACAAAAAGCTTGTGCAGCGTGTGTTTACTATCTGCACATCCTAGTCTTGGAAAAGGGTGGTTACTTCACTGTTGGCTAATCGCCTGCACCACAAACCTGCAGGATAGTGTACAACCTGAGGTGTAGAGACGGTACAAGCAGCAGAGCGAGATGGGTTGCTGTTGTAGGGCAATGTGCCAAAGCCAGCTGTGCGTAGGGAAGGGGGTCTTGGTGGCTGTAGTACTGACAAAAAGCTGTTCACAACATTTTGTGAAACGAAGGACAGCCCTTCCACTTGGTATTAGCTTGTGCGATTGGTGCGTCACAGATATATTGTCTGAAAAAGACTAGTAGGCACTGTACACTTGCTCCGATATTACAGAACTATATACAGCGTGCGTCCCCTTGTATGGTAACATACCATAATGTTGTTGTCAGCCTACGCTGCTGTATCAATGGCCCATGCTCACAGCGGAAGCACGACGGACGGCTCACATTCATCATTCATGTATTCATTCCCGTGAGGGCAATGTGCCGTGGCTCCTCACACAGACGCCCCTCACAACTGCTGTGTGGTGGGTGGATCAATGCAGAGAGCAAGTGTGATGGTCGTGTTGTGTGACCGTCTTGGATGGTCTTGCTGGTCTCTCTAAGGTCATCGACGCGGGCGGCGGGAGAAGAGCAGGGCGACACAGCAGCAGAGAAGGAGCGACCCCAGGAGAGCCTGACGAAAGGGGGGTAAGGGAGAGGCGGATGGGGGAAGGGGGAGGGGGGAGAGACAGTGGAAGGGACATAGAGAAACATGGAGCCTCACGAGTTGGAGAGGAGCAGGGCGACTCAGCAGCAGAGAAGGAGCGACCCCAGTAGAGCCTGACGAAAGGGATGGGAGGAAAGCGAGTGCGTGAGTGGTGAAGGGGGGACCCGAACACGAAATGAGTTTTATTGAACGAGGAGAGCGGGTGCCACAGCAGCATAGCAGAAGCAGCCGCAGAAGATCATGATAGCTTCGGATCTCAGAATGAAGAGAGAGCTTGGGATTGTGGAGGGACAGCAAGCCACATTGAGCCAAGGTCACTGCCACAGTGAGAACCGCAGAAGAGTGCATTGTTCCCTTTGTGGCAACGCATGTGTTTGACTTGAGAGGTCGGTCGGGGATCTAGCAGGTGCGTGCCAGGCACAACACCCCACCACCTTCCCCGCTCCCCCTCTCCCCACCCTTCCCCCCCACTACTCGATGCAGACTCACAGTGTTGAGGAATTGCATTCGCTCCAGTGAGGTCAGCCGAGCATCCAGCAGCTGCAGTCGGGCTGCCAGGCTGGCGGCCGAGGGCGATGCTGACGTGGCAGCAGCAGCTGACGGCGGTTCCAATGGAAATAGCAGCGACTCACCACTGCCACCAGCACCAGCCGTAGCACCACCACCTGGTGTAGTTGCAGCCGCAGCAGCTGTAGCGGCAGCAGCAGAAGCAACAGTGCGCATGGCTGGCAGTGTACCATATGCACCGGCTGTAGCTGTGCCAGCTGTAGCACGACTGGCTGTAGCCGTGCCAGCTGTAGCAGTGCCAGCTGTAGAGGCGGATGTAGCAGAAGGGATGGCCGAGCAAGAGGGTGGTGGCATGGATGCTGCGAGAGCCATGCTGTATTTGCTCCGATGCTCTGTGCCGCCATGCACTGCTGCTGCTGACACGTTACCGCCTTGCCAGCTGGCTGCAATGGGTGGCTGGCCTTGGCTTGTGGTGGTGGTGCTGCTGGGAAGAAACGACGGAGCGCCCTGAGAGGGGGGGCAGGGGGAGGGGGAGATGAAGTAGATGATTGCAGGGCTGCCGAGAGCTGAGCTGACAGCACCATGCCACCAACCAGCCGAAGGAAGATCTGATAAAGTGCTTAGGGACTCTTCTCTATGATCTAGGGTAGCTAGCTTGTATTTTTTTTTTTGTCTGTTTTTTCTTCGATTTGACTCGAGGAACAAGCAAGTGGATAGAGGGGACCGAAAGAGCATATCTGGGAGGCTACAAGCAGCAGCAAGTGCCTCGCACCCGAGGGGATACTCGTTGTAGCAGGGCATGTACGCTGGTGGCCTGTTGACTTAAGCTGTAGAGGGACCGTGTTTCTCACCTGAGGAGATACCTGTTGCAGCAAGGTGTGCAGGCGGGCAGCCTGTTGGCTGCGATGCACGTCCACCTACTCTGAGAAGGCATGTGCTGCTGATGGCTTCAGCTGTGGAAAAACAGAGAACCAAGTCCCAGCCACCACAATATGCATCTCACCTGAGGGGATACCCGTTGCAGCAAGGCGTGCAGGCAGGCGGCCTTCTGACTGTGATGAACACATTTGAGACACGCAAGCGACTCTCACCTGAGGGGATACTCGTTGCAGCAAGGCGTGCAGGCAGGCGGCCTTCTGACTGTGATGAACACATTTGAGACACGCAAGCGACTCTCACCTGAGGGGATACTCGTTGCAGCAAGGCGTGCAGGCGGGCGGCCTGCTGGCTTCGACGGACGTCCACCGACTCCGAGAAGAACACGCGGTTGCTGTCGTGGATTATCTCCACGAATGGCTGCATGCCACGTGTCACAGGGAGGAACAGGAAGGGTGAGACTACAAATTGCAAGCGCTTTCAACAAAACAAGTGCCGCCATGCAGTAGTAATAAGTTTCAGCTGAGCAATACAGTCCTACAAAGTAGGGTAATCCAAGTCCCACCGAGGCGCATGCCTCACAAACGTTTCCGTCATAACGAGTTGGTTTTTGAGAATTCTCAAAAACCGAGGCACATGCCTCACCAACGTTTCCGTCATAACGCGTTGGTTTTGAGAATTCTCAAAAACCGAGGCGCATGCCTCACAAACGTTTCCATCATAACGACATAAGGACGGATGCAAGGGCGAGCCCTGCAGCAGCCACAGCGTCCCAGCTGCTACCCTTAATCTGCACAGGGTCAGCAATGCCGCACCATACCTACACGAATCCCACAAAACTGTTTCCAATACCTTGGTAACGTACGTCCCATCCAGCCTCATTGTGCGGCCTGCAGCAGCCACGGCATCCCGGCTGCTTCCCTTCATACATGCACGTCACTCGCATAATCAGAGTCGGTGGCAGTGCTGCCCAATCATGTTTCATACCTTGGTGGCGTACGTCCCATCCAGCCTCATTGTGCGGCCTGCACCAGCCACGGCATCGCGGCTGCTGCCCTTGACGCATGCACACCATCAGCTTGATCAGAATCAGTGCCACCGTGCCATACCGACAAAAACCCCACAGTACCGCTTTCCATACCTTGGTGACGTACGTCCCATCCAGCCGCATGGCTCGCCCTGCAGCAGCCACGGCATCCCGGCTGCTGCCCTTGATCTGCACAAAGCGGCGCCCGTTCAGGCCCTTGATTCCCACCAACTCCACTGAAATCTGGAATAGAGAAGAAGAGATAGCGACACAGAAACACAGAAACACAGAGAGAGAGAGAGAGAGAGAGAGAGAGAGAGAGAGAGAGAGAGAGAGAGAGAGAGAGAGAGAGAGAGAGAGAGAGAGAGAGAGAGAGAGAGAGAGAGAGAGAGAGATTACAACGAGCACATGAGGATGGAACGGCCACAATGAACCCCCCTCTTGATCTGCACAAAGCGGCGCCTGTTCAGGCCCTTGATTGGCACCAGCTCCACTGAAAGCTGGCAGGTGTGACGGAGAAACAGAGATGGACGACAGGAGAGCACATGAGAAGAACCGAGGAACGGGGTGTGTTGAAACGACAAAACGCGCCTCCCTCGATCTGCACAAAGCGGCCCCCCTCGATCTGCACAAAGCGGCCCCCCGTTCAGACCCTTGATCCCCACCACCTCCACTGAAATCTGGCAGCCTTGACAGCCAGGCACATATAAGATACAGTCATGTGGGGAGACAGAGGGGGCACACATGGGAACAGCTGAGGAATGTGTCGAGGAAATGGAACGCCCATACGCCCTATCCCTGGTGTGCACAAAGCGTCTCCTGTTCGGACCCTTGATTCCCACCACCTCCTCTGAGATCTGACAGGTGTGATGGAGACATATAAGATATATAAGACATATGAGACATATAAGACATATAAGACATATAAGACATATAAGACATATGAGACATATGAGACATATGAGACATATAAGACATATAAGACATATGAGAGATATGAGACATATGAGACATATAAGACATATAAGACATATAAGACATATGAGACATATGAGACATATAAGACATATAAGCCATATAAGACATATAAGGGTACATTCCTGTGTGGACACAAATGTCTCAATCGCTTTGAGACACTCAAAAACAACATTAACTGTAGTGTGTCTCAAACCCGAGTCGCTTTTCAGCGACCATTACTATTTTTTCATTGGTCAGCGTGTTACACGCTGACGTCGCTGACGAATTGTAAACCGACTCTCACTTTAAAAAGATCGCACGCGATCCCAAATGTCAATGCACCTGGTCTGCCTGCAATGCCAATTTCGCGCGGGAAAAAATCTCGCGCGTCGAAATCACACCCCAGCCAAGCGGTTGAGGAAACGGGTGTACAGTCATCTGTGTCACCCAATCAAATGTGCCCAACAGTGCATTTCGCCTGGTCGCGTAGAAACGCGATACATTCAGTTTTTGTGACGCGACATTGACAAAATGTTTCGACGCGACTCGGGAAAAGAGGGATTGAGACACAAATGTCCACACAGGAATGCACCCTAAGACATATAAGACATATGAGACATATAAGACCTATAAGACATATAAGACATATAAGACATACAAGACATATAACACATATAAGACAAATGAGACATATAAGACATATAAGACATATAAGACATATCAGACATACAAGACATACAAGACATATAAGACATACAAGACATATAAGACATACAAGACATACAAGACATACAAGACATACAAGTGACATATAAGACATATACGATATATAAGACATATGAGACACATAAGACATATACGACATATAAGACATATAAGACATAAGACATATAAGACATATAAGATACAGACATGCAGACTGAGAGAGCACACATGAGAACAACTGAGGAATGCGGTGGGGAAAGCCCACACGCCCCTTCTCCTGATGTGGACAAAGCACCGCCCATTTCCCGACAGACATGACTGAGAGATGTTTAGACACACCACAGGTAAGCACATGAGAAGAACCGAGGAATGGGGTGGGATCGAATGACCACACACCCCGCCTTGTGTGTGTCTGCGTGTGTGCGGGGGTGCCGTGGTGCGTGCGTGTGTGTGTGCGCGCGCACGCGCGTGTGTTTCTTGTTTGATTTAGGCATGACTTGCTACTTACTACCAACGTTCTTATCTCACCTGGTCGTCTTGGAACACAGTGGCTGAAACCTCCATGAAACGCCCTGCCTGGTACCTGCCTCCTTAAAAATGCACCTGCACATACCAGTGGGCTTGCCACCCCCAGAGTGCACTCATCTCACCTGGTCGTCTTGAGACTTCCATGAACAGCCCTGCCTGGTAGCTGCCTCGTTACACATGCACCTGCGTCTGCTCTCTCCCTACACCTGCTCTCCCTAGATGGTCCCTGCATATCGGTGGGCTTGCCACCCCCAGTGTGACCTCATCTCACCTGGTCGTCTTGGAACACAGTGGCTGAAACTTCCATGAACAACCCTGCCTGGTACCTGCACAAGGCAGCACAACCAGAGAGGAGTGAAACGAAATCACTTCAAACGGAGATGGGGAACCTCCATGGTGCGAGGGTTTTGGGCTTGGGTTCCAGCCATACAGAATCTGGTTACGCTGCTGGTGACCTGGTTACCACCACCACACCACAAGCACAGCCAACGTCACCACCACACTACTCACCCAAGGCTGACTAAGCCTGCCATTGTGGAAAGCCCACTGTCAAACTCAATTTGTGGCTGAACTACATACCTCACATGTTAGATGCACCACCACCACCACAGCTTGTTACCTGGTTACCACAGCACCACTCACCCCAGCCTGACTAGCCCTGCCACTGTGGACAGCCCAATGTCAAACTCCACTTGCGGCTGAATCACAAAGTCGCCCTCTGTCAGTGGCTGGTGGGGTGTAACGGGTGTAGGGTTGAGGGGCAGAGATGATAGAAGACCGACAGGGGAAAGCAAAAGGGGGAGCGGGAGAAAGCATGGAAGGGACAGATGTCACAGTCCACTTGAGCTTGGATCACACAGTCGCCCTCTGTCAGCGGACGCAGTGAGCCGAATTCGCGGGAAAGGGTAGTGGTGACAGAGAGCATGTGAAAGGGGTGGATAGGCGAAGGGAGAGCTTGTAAGTGGCAAACTCAAATTGGGCTGGGGAAGGGGGCATTGAAACAAGACAATGGAATGTTCAAGGCCTAGGTGAAGTTGAAGAATCGCCCCAATGTCTTTGATCATAAAAGGATTTTCATTGTAGCACCTCGGATACAAGAGCTCAGGCAGAGGTGTGGGCCAGGATAACCAAGGTGGCCAACACGCTTGAAGACCCCGCTGAACTTAAAAAGATCCGGAATAATATGCAAGATGTTCTGGGGAATGCGGAGGTGACAGTGGTGAGGGAAAACAGGGAAGCTGCTATTAAGTGGCTGAGGGATGTCCATGGGGGTGGGAAACAGTATAGGGTGGAGTGGGTCGATGATGAGTCTCAGAGGCTAGAGCGCCTGAAGGAGCAGGCGCTGCGGGAGATGTAGTGAGATCTATCATCGACCCACTTCACCCTATACTGTTTCCCACCCCCATGGACATCCCTCAGCCACTTAATAGCAGTTTCCCTGTTGTTCCTTTGTCACGTAAATGCACAACACTCAGTCTCACCTCGCATATAAGCACGGCGAATCAGTTGTTGCAGCAGCGCACACGGATCCATTCAGACTCCCTCACTGGCCCCTCTGAAGGAGTGTTAAGTTTCATTCAACGTATAAGCACATTCCATCACCTCACATACAAGCACAAACGTGACTAACCTCACGGATGAGCACCGCAAACCGGTTGTTGCAGCAGCGCACGCGGATCCAATCAGACTCCCTCACAGGCCCCTCCGGGTGCAGCCCGGGCAGGTAAAAGAAGACGTCTGTGTAGGACAGCTGGCGCTGGTGGTGGGTGGAAGGGTCGACCACTCGCAGAATGTCCTCCTCCGAAACCTGGTGTAGGGGGTGACGAAGGAAAGATAGGAGACGGAAGTTGATTTCCTCACAGGCCCCTCTGGGTGCAGCCCTGGCAGGTAGAAGAAGACGTCTGTGTAGGACAACTGTCGCCGGTGGTGGGTGGCGGGGTCAACCACTCGCAAGATGTCCTCCTCGGTGACCTGATTTATGGTTTAGAGAGCAGAGAGAGGGTGGAGGGAGAAGAGAGGGTAGAGAAGAGAGGGTGGAGAAGAGAGGGTGGAGAAGAGAGGGTGGAGTCTTTAAGGTAACGCTGTTGACCGTTAATACATTCCTGTCGCTCTTGAGGACGATTTGGTAGGAGTTGTGCCTTTCCAAGACGTCTCAGGAGTTGCCTATTGACAGCGGTATGGTTTCACGGTCTACTACTCACAGTTGTTGCCCGTGTGCTGCAGTGATACCTTAATGTTGCTCTTGAGGACAAATGGGGAATGGCTTTTTGCTGAAGCGCCTCGAAAGTCAGCACTGTTGATTGACAGTCAATACCTTCTTGTCACTCTTGAGGACGAATTGTGACGCGTCGCGGGCATGGAAGGGGTCGAAGTTGTTGACCACTCGCAGCTGCGCACATGAGCACACAGAGAGCAGATGGCAAGACACAGACAGGGAGAGACGCAAATGAGGAGTTGTGTATAGAGATTGTGACCCGGGTCCCGATTGAGAATCTCTACTCAATTTGCAACTGCGAGCACGTCCCGGGTGTTGATACACACTGAGAAAGACGAGCGTCTTTTGACCTCTTACAAAGAGGATTAAAAAAAGAATCTGCAAAAAAAGAGGGGGTTGAAAAGGATTCTGAAAAGAGATTCTGTAATGAGATTCTGGTGCAGAAGAGACAGAAGCGTGCTGCACGCATGCGCAGGTGGGAGTGTGATGAGCTGGGGAGTAAAAGGGCCTAATCTGGGTGCAAGAAGTGCGTTCCCTCCACGTCTTCTGCTGGATGAACGAACAAAGGGCCTGGTGTTCTCTAGATGGCTGGCTCATGCACACATGTTAATCGTGAAGCACACTCACATGTTGAACTGAACTCACATGAGCGGTGGAGAGGAAAGGTTGGATCTGGGTGCGGAAGAGTGGGAAGAGCGTTGCCTCGATGTCCCCTGCTGGTCGAGAGATACGACAGGCTTGCAGGTCGGAGAGCACTCGTGCTGGCAGGTGAGAATGGACTCCCCCGTCCTGTGGGTGGAAGAGATGTTGTAGGGATGAAGAAAGTATACAGAAATTGGATGAGCCAGCGCAGATGCAGAACGAGCGGCTTGCTGCAGGCTTGCAGGTCGGAGAGCATTTGTGCTGGCAGGTGTGAGCGCACTCCCCCATCCTGTGTGCAGAAAAGATGTTGTCGGAATGAGCAGAGCTGTAGTGCTACTTGACGTTCTGGTAAAAGATCATTCCCCATTATTTTCAGTAGACTAGTTGGAAGCAATGAAACAGCAGAAACGGCACTAGCTGCATGCCACAGGCTTGCAGGTCGGAGGGCACTCGTGCTGGCAGGTGGGAATGGGGCCGTCCGTACTGCTGTGGGGGCAAGCAGGTGAATGCGCAGGTGAATGCGGTGGTGAATGCGGTGGTGAATGCGGTGGTGAATGCAGAGGTGAATGCGGTGGTGAATGCGGAGGTGAATGCAGACTCATCACGGCAAAAGCGCAGGTGGAATGGAAGAGCTGATTTTTCTGCAGGCTTGGATGCCTTTCTAGATCACCTGGCATGGCATGGCATGGCTAGGCATGGCTGGGCACGGCATAGCATGGCATGGCATGGCATGGCATGGCATGGCCGGACATGGCTGGGCCCGGCATGGCATGGGATGGCATGGGTGTGAGATGGCATGGCATGGCATGGCATGGCCTGGCATGGCATGGCATGGCATGGCATGGGTGTGAGATGGCATGGCATGGCATGGCATGGCCTGGCATGGCATGGCATGGCATGGCATGGCATGGCCTGGCATGGCATGGCATGGCATGGCATGCCTTTCATGGTGCACTCACCACAGCAATACGCAAGTCAAGTCGTTGTTGCAGGAGGGGGTGCAACGTATGCGTTCCCTCCAAAACAAGCTGATGCGAGCACAACAAGACATGATATGGCGTCGGATACAAAATACAAATGGAATATATGTCAAGCAAACAAACAAGTATTGCAAGAGCTTCCAAGGGTAGAGAACAGCAAACTAAAATAACGGAAACCATAACACTTGATCTGCGATTGTGCCACAGGTTGGAACAGTATCTACGCTGGAGTCACTCTCCGGAGGTTTCACAGGTGAATTATTTTCGCTAAGTGGTGAACGCCTTTGCTCGAGCGAAGTGCGTCGTGAATGCCTTTCCTCATAAGAAATGCTTTGTGTTGTGGTTGCAGGCTTGCAGCAGCAGGAGGAGGGAGCAATGCACTCAATCCGCTGCTGCCTTTCTGAGGTGCCTAAAATGTTAGTGTAATGCTTGAAGCGCCTAAAAAAATTTGACCCAATGGACTCACCACTCCACTGCTGCTGCTGCCGCAGCCGCCACCATCCCTTGCTCCCCCTGCCGCCTCCCACGACGCCTCAACTCCTGCCGATGCTGCTGCTGCAGACGATACAGATGCTGCAGACACGTCAGTCCCATGCCCGTGCCCATCCCCACGCATGTGCACGGGACGGTATCCCACCCTCCTCATCGTGCCAAAGTCAAACACCGGAGTGACCGCTGGCCGCCCCTCCCGCACGTCCTGCAGCATGCGGCGCAGCAGTGGCCAATCCACGACTGCCACGTCATCGTAGTTGGTGCCGTCGGCAGCGTCGTTGAAAAAGGAGTCGAGGGAGAGGAGGTCGCAGGAGAGCAGGCGGGCGAGGTTGCAGGCCAGGCTAGTCTTGCCTGACCCGCTGGGTCCTCCTGTGAGAATGGAGGGAAAGGGAGAGAACAGGACAATAGTGAAGAGGAGTTCCAGGGAGAGGGGTTCGCAGGAGAGCAGGCGGGCGAGGTTGCATGCCAGGCTGGTCTTGCCTGACCCGCTGCGTCCGCCTGGTGGAAGGGAAGAGAAAGTGGAAGAAGGGAGGGGAGAAAAACTGAGTGGAAAAAAGGAGTCGAGGGAGAGGAGATCGCAGGAGAGCAGGCGGGCGAGATTGCAGGCAAGGGTCGTCGTGCCTGACCCGCTGGGGCCTCCTGGTGGAAGGGGGGGGAAAGGAGGGGAAACATCGGAAGGAGAAAAGCGGGTTCGAGGGAGAGAGGTCGCAGGAGAGCAGGCTGGCGAGGTTGCAGGCCAGGCTCGTCTTGCCCGAGCCACTGGGGCCTCCTGTGAGAGTAGACGAAACGGGATGGAAAGGGACGTGAAGGAAGGGAAGGAGTCGAGGGAGAGGAGAGTGCAGGATAACAGATGGGCGAGGTTACAGGCCAGGCTGGTCTTGCCTGAACCGCTGGGTCCTCTTGGGAAGAAGGAAGAGATGGCAAAAAAGGGGGGAGAAGGGACCGGGAAATGAAGGAAGAAAAAGAAGGGGTTGAAGGGAGGAGAGGTGGAGGGAGCGCAGGCGAGCAAGGTTCCAGGCCAGGCTGGTCTCGCCGATAAGGGAGAAAAGGGATGGGAGGGGAAGATGGAGGGGGGAGAAACGAGCGGATAGAGCGCAGGAGAAACGAGCGGAGCCCGCAGGAGAAACGAGCGGATATAGCCGCAGTAGAAACGAGCGGATAGAGCCGCAGGAGAAACGAGCGGATAGAGCCGCAGGAGAAACGAGCGGATAGAGCCGCAGGATAAACGAGCGGATAGAGCCGCAGGAGAAACGAGCGGATAGAGCCGCAGGAGAAACGAGCGGATAGAGCCGCAGGAGAAACGAGCGGATAGAGCCGCAGGAGAAACGAGCGGATAGAGCCGCAGGAGAAACGAGCGGATAGAGCCGCAGGAGAAACGAGCCGATAGAGCCGCAGGAGAAACGAGCGGATAGAGCCGCAGGAGAGCAGGCACTCAAGGTTGGATTCGCACAATGACTGGAGCTCAAGACGCGGCAAAACACCCTTGAGAGAGCAGCAGGAGGGACTCATTGCTGAAAATTCTCTCAAGTGACTTCCAGATTACGAGGCTGCAACGTGGATTCGTTTATGACTGGAGCTTCAAGACGCGACAAAACATCCTTGAGAGAGCAGTAAGCAGAGAGCAAAGAGCAGAGGGCAGAGAACAGGAGGGGGGGCTTACCGATTCCCACTATGACTGGAGGGCCGTTGCTGCGGAGCAGTTTCTGCATGAGAGAGAGAAAGGGCGACAGATTCACATGAAGGAGAGGTAAGCTTGAAGACTTGAGAAAGGCAAACGAAGCCCAATGTCAACGATAGGCAAAGTGGCTCACTCACTGGTACTTTGAAACCTCTAAATCCCTCAAAAGGCACGAACACCAAGTAATTTGAGATAGCTTTGATTCTCGGCCTACTCGAGACTCAAGTCAGCTTTAAATCAAGCCGAGATTCTCTAGTGAGTCCTCTTGGTCCTCACCTGCACGACCATCACACCTAGGCTGAGCCTTCACCTGACTCAGCCTTGCATGAGCTGAGAGCTGCAGATACACGGTGCTGAGGAACTGGCTGAATTGACAGAGAGCATCGTGGAGCTTCAGCATCTGACATCGTTTGAGTTCCATGCATGCATCAGCCTAGTTTCCCTCCTCGAGCACACGGATGTCTTAACCAGACTGCGCAAACGGAAGCTGACAGATTGCAAGGCAATGGAGCGGCTCCCTACTTCTCTCACTAGCATCGCATTCCTGACTGAGGTTGATCTTGCCTCCACCCGCATCAGCTCACTTCTTGACGAAGTGAGGAATATCAAGCTCGTCAAGTTTAGTTTGCACAGTCTGATTAAGACATCCGTGTGCTCAAGGAGGGAAATTAGGCTGATGTATGCATGAAACTCTAACGATGGCAGATGCTGAAGCTTCGATATGCTCTCTGGCAACTCAGCGGATTCTTCAGCACCATGCATATGCAGCGCTCTCACCTGTGCAGCAGAAGCTCACCTGCACGGCCATCACAGCGAGGCTGAGCCCTCTGTCAAAGTTGAACTGCTCTCGTTTGGGAATGAGGTCGAACCGTGCCCTTTGTGACGCTGATGCCGAAGCTGTTGTTGCTGCTCTTGCTAAACCTTGCCTTTCCATTCCAGATGCCACGCCACCCATTTCCTCTTCCACATCTCCCCTCCGCTCTCCCCTCGCTTGCAGTCCTGGACCCTCCCTTTCTCCACTTCTCCTCGCAGCCCCTTCCTCTGCCATTCCTCCTCCCGGCTGTGCTCTCTGCGCCACTCTCTGCTGCTGTTCTGTGCCCTGCTGGTTACCGCCACGCTCTCCCAGTCCTGGCTGGACTCTCTTCTGCCGGCTTGTCTGCTGCTGCTGCCTGTCGCTACCAGCAGCAGCAGCAAGCAGAGGTTCTCCATGGGCGAGTGGGGACGTTGCAAGGGTGGAGGTCGACTGATACACACCCTCGCCGCCTGCTGCCGCCATCCCCTCTTCCGCTGCAGTTGCACTAGCAGCAGCAGGGGCACTTGGAGGGGGGTCAGTTTCACCAGAAGCCATGGCTTGTTGGATGATCTGAGTGTGCATGAGGCCTACAGAGTCCGCCAGGCCTGTGAGTCCCCACGATGCCGGGGCAGCCATCGCTGCTGCTTCACTCGCTCTTGTGGGCGAACGCGTCCACGGCTCCTGCTCCTCCACACCGCTCTCCACCCCTCTCTCCTCCACCCCTCTCTCCTCCCCCTCCCCTTCCTGCACCCTCTCTCCTCCCCACGCCCACCACCGCTACTGCTGCCCACAGCAATTTCCTCTCTAGCCCCACCTCTCCTTCCCCTGCCGGCACCTCGCTCGGCAGGTCTACCTCCCCCGGATGAGCCTGGCGAGCCGACGTTGATGGCTCGTGGGCGCACAGGGAGAGGCGCAGAGGCGGCAGAGAGGGCTGCGGAGATGCTGAGGGGGAGAGGGGACTGGGAGGGAGGCGGTGGTGCGGTGGAGAGGAGTGTGGACTTGTATGGAGGTGAAGGAATGTCAGAACGGGATAGAGGAGGGGATTGAGAAGGAGGAGGATGGGTGGGTTGAGATTGGGTGGGTTCGAGTGTGGTGGAGGGGGGAGGGTGGGAGGAGGGGACGGTGAGGAAGGAGGAGGAGGAGGGGGAGGAGGTGAGGGATTCGATCTGGTCGGACTCAAAGCGCACCCAGGAGGAGGAGAGGGGCGGAGTGGGCAGACGAGGGGCGCCTGCGGGCAAGAGGAGAGCAGGTGGCAGGGGAAGGGGGGAGAGTGTGGGGAAGAGGGGGGATTGTAACTACGCATGTTGTTGTCCGGATTCGGAGTGCACCCAGGCGTGGGCAGACGAGGGGCGCCTGGCACAGGGAAGCGGGATAGAATGGGGTGGGGAGCAGAGTCCCCCCGGTTGGCGGAAAGGAGGGGTTTAGGGCTCAGAGTCCCCCCCGATGCATAATGTTTAAACAGGAGTTTTGTTTTTTAGAGCTAAAAACGAACCATTGACCACATGTCACCACGTGAAACGTACTATCAATCAGTGAACATTGTACCCCACCACCCACCACCATGCATCTCAATTGGGCGTCAAATCATACCAACGTGGCGCATAACAATGTCAACGTAGGCGTCAGTGACCCACGGCCCCTCCAATCTCAGGGCCAAGCACGATGCATGTCAAGTGGCAAGTCAATGCGTACCAACATGGTGCATGACAATGTCGACATAAGCGTCTGTGACCCACGGCCCCTCCAATCTCAGGGCCAAGCACGATGCATGTCAAGTGGCAAGTCAATGCGTACCAACATGGTGCATGACAATGTCGACATAAGCGTCTGTGACCCACGGCCCCTCCAATCTCAGGGCCAAGCACGATGCATGTCAAGTGGCAAGTCAATGCGTACCAACATGGTGCATGACAATGTCGACATAAGCGTCTGTGACCCACGGCCCCTCCAATCTCAGAGCCGCTGCTGCTGTCAGCACCGTCTGTTTCATGATGAGAAAGGATAAGAGGCACAAAAGGATAAGAGGCACAAAAGGATAAGAGGCACAAAAGGATAAGAGGCACAATAGGATAAGAGGCACAAAAGGATAAGAGGCACAAAAGGATAAGAGGCACAAAAGGATAAGAGGCACAAAAGGATAAGAGGAACAAAAGGATAAGAGGCACAAAAGGATAAGAGGCACAATAGGATAAGAGGCACAAAAGGATAAGAGGCACAATAGGATAAGAGGCACAAAAGGATAAGAGGCACAAAAGGATAAGAGGCACAAAAGGATAAGAGGCACAAAAGGATAAGAGGCACAAAAGGATAAGAGGCACAAAAGGATAAGAGGCACAATAGGATAAGAGGCACAAAAGGATAAGAGGCACAAAAGGATAAGAGGCACAATAGGATAAGAGGCACAAAAGGATAAGAGGCACAAAAGGATAAGAGGCACAAAAGGATAAGAGGAACAAAAGGATAAGAGGCACAAAAGGATAAGAGGCACAATAGGATAAGAGGCACAAAAGGATAAGAGGCACAAAAGGATAAGAGGCACAATAGGATAAGAGGCACAAAAGGATAAGAGGCACAATAGGATAAGAGGCACAAAAGGATAAGAGGCACAAAAGGATAAGAGGCACAAAAGGATAAGAGGCACAAAAGGATAAGAGGCACAAAAGGATAAGAGGCACAAAAGGATAAGAGGCACAATAGGATAAGAGGCACAAAAGGATAAGAGGCACAAAAGGATAAGAGGCACAAAAGGATAAGAGGCACAATAGGATAAGAGGCACAAAAGGATAAGAGGCACAAAAGGATAAGAGGCACAAAAGGATAAGAGGAACAAAAGGATAAGAGGCACAAAAGGATAAGAGGCACAAAAGGATAAGAGGCACAATAGGATAAGAGGCACAAAAGGATAAGAGGAACAAAAGGATAAGAGGCACAAAAGGATAAGAGGCACAAAAGGATAAGAGGCACAAAAGGATAAGAGGCACAAAAGGATAAGAGGCACAAAAGGATAAGAGGCACAATAGGATAAGAGGCACAAAAGGATAAGAGGAACAAAAGGATAAGAGGCACAATAGGATAAGAGGCACAAAAGGATAAGAGGCACAAAAGGATAAGAGGCACAATAGGATAAGAGGCACAAAAGGATAAGAGGCACAATAGGATAAGAGGCACAAAAGGATAAGAGGCACAAAAGGATAAGAGGCACAAAAGGATAAGAGGCACAAAAGGATAAGAGGCACAAAAGGATAAGAGGCACAAAAGGATAAGAGGCACAAAAGGATAAGAGGCACAAAAGGATAAGAGGCACAAAAGGATAAGAGGCACAAAAGGATAAGAGGCACAAAAGGATAAGAGGCACAATAGGATAAGAGGCACAAAAGGATAAGAGGCACAAAAGGATAAGAGGCACAAAAGGATAAGAGGAACAAAAGGATAAGAGGCACAAAAGGATAAGAGGCACAAAAGGATAAGAGGCACAATAGGATAAGAGGCACAAAAGGATAAGAGGCACAAAAGGATAAGAGGCACAAAAGGATAAGAGGCACAAAAGGATAAGAGGCACAAAAGGATAAGAGGCACAAAAGGATAAGAGGCACAAAAGGATAAGAGGCACAATAGGATAAGAGGCACAAAAGGATAAGAGGAACAAAAGGATAAGAGGCACAATAGGATAAGAGGCACAAAAGGATAAGAGGCACAAAAGGATAAGAGGCACAAAAGGATAAGAGGAACAAAAGGATAAGAGGCACAATAGGATAAGAGGCACAAAAGGATAAGAGGAACAAAAGGATAAGAGGCACAAAAGGATAAGAGGAACAAAAGGATAAGAGGCACAATAGGATAAGAGGCACAAAAGGATAAGAGGCACAAAAGGATAAGAGGCACAAAAGGATAAGAGGCACAAAAGGATAAGAGGCACAAAAGGATAAGAGGCACAAAAGGATAAGAGGCACAAAAGGATAAGAGGCACAAAAGGATAAGAGGCACAAAAGGATAAGAGGCACAAAAGGATAAGAGGCACAAAAGGATAAGAGGCACAAAAGGATAAGAGGCACAAAAGGATAAGAGGAACAAAAGGATAAGAGGCACAAAAGGATAAGAGGCACAAAAGGATAAGAGGCACAAAAGGATAAGAGGCACAAAAGGATAAGAGGCACAAAAGGATAAGAGGCACAAAAGGATAAGAGGCACAAAAGGATAAGAGGCACAATAGGATAAGAGGCACAAAAGGATAAGAGGCACAAAAGGATAAGAGGCACAATAGGATAAGAGGCACAAAAGGATAAGAGGCACAAAAGGATAAGAGGCACAAAAGGATAAGAGGCACAAAAGGATAAGAGGCACAAAAGGATAAGAGGCACAAAAGGATAAGAGGCACAAAAGGATAAGAGGCACAAAAGGATAAGAGGCACAAAAGGATAAGAGGCACAAAAGGATAAGAGGCACAAAAGGATAAGAGGCACAAAAGGATAAGAGGCACAATAGGATAAGAGGCACAAAAGGATAAGAGGCACAAAAGGATAAGAGGCACAAAAGGATAAGAGGAACAAAAGGATAAGAGGCACAAAAGGATAAGAGGCACAAAAGGATAAGAGGCACAATAGGATAAGAGGCACAAAAGGATAAGAGGAACAAAAGGATAAGAGGCACAAAAGGATAAGAGGCACAAAAGGATAAGAGGCACAAAAGGATAAGAGGCACAAAAGGATAAGAGGCACAAAAGGATAAGAGGCACAATAGGATAAGAGGCACAAAAGGATAAGAGGAACAAAAGGATAAGAGGCACAAAAGGATAAGAGGCACAAAAGGATAAGAGGCACAAAAGGATAAGAGGCACAAAAGGATAAGAGGCACAAAAGGATAAGAGGCACAAAAGGATAAGAGGCACAAAAGGATAAGAGGCACAATAGGATAAGAGGCACAAAAGGATAAGAGGCACAAAAGGATAAGAGGCACAAAAGGATAAGAGGAACAAAAGGATAAGAGGCACAAAAGGATAAGAGGCACAAAAGGATAAGAGGCACAATAGGATAAGAGGCACAAAAGGATAAGAGGAACAAAAGGATAAGAGGCACAAAAGGATAAGAGGCACAAAAGGATAAGAGGCACAAAAGGATAAGAGGCACAAAAGGATAAGAGGCACAAAAGGATAAGAGGCACAATAGGATAAGAGGCACAAAAGGATAAGAGGAACAAAAGGATAAGAGGCACAATAGGATAAGAGGCACAAAAGGATAAGAGGCACAAAAGGATAAGAGGCACAATAGGATAAGAGGCACAAAAGGATAAGAGGCACAATAGGATAAGAGGCACAAAAGGATAAGAGGCACAAAAGGATAAGAGGCACAAAAGGATAAGAGGCACAAAAGGATAAGAGGCACAAAAGGATAAGAGGCACAAAAGGATAAGAGGCACAAAAGGATAAGAGGCACAAAAGGATAAGAGGCACAATAGGATAAGAGGCACAAAAGGATAAGAGGAACAAAAGGATAAGAGGCACAAAAGGATAAGAGGCACAAAAGGATAAGAGGCACAAAAGGATAAGAGGCACAAAAGGATAAGAGGCACAAAAGGATAAGAGGCACAATAGGATAAGAGGCACAAAAGGATAAGAGGAACAAAAGGATAAGAGGCACAATAGGATAAGAGGCACAAAAGGATAAGAGGCACAAAAGGATAAGAGGCACAATAGGATAAGAGGCACAAAAGGATAAGAGGCACAATAGGATAAGAGGCACAAAAGGATAAGAGGCACAAAAGGATAAGAGGCACAAAAGGATAAGAGGCACAAAAGGATAAGAGGCACAAAAGGATAAGAGGCACAAAAGGATAAGAGGCACAAAAGGATAAGAGGCACAAAAGGATAAGAGGCACAAAAGGATAAGAGGCACAAAAGGATAAGAGGCACAATAGGATAAGAGGCACAAAAGGATAAGAGGCACAAAAGGATAAGAGGCACAATAGGATAAGAGGCACAAAAGGATAAGAGGCACAAAAGGATAAGAGGCACAAAAGGATAAGAGGAACAAAAGGATAAGAGGCACAAAAGGATAAGAGGCACAAAAGGATAAGAGGAACAAAAGGATAAGAGGCACAATAGGATAAGAGGCACAAAAGGATAAGAGGCACAATAGGATAAGAGGCACAAAAGGATAAGAGGCACAAAAGGATAAGAGGCACAAAAGGATAAGAGGCACAAAAGGATAAGAGGAACAAAAGGATAAGAGGCACAATAGGATAAGAGGCACAAAAGGATAAGAGGCACAATAGGATAAGAGGCACAAAAGGATAAGAGGCACAAAAGGATAAGAGGCACAAAAGGATAAGAGGCACAAAAGGATAAGAGGCACAATAGGATAAGAGGCACAAAAGGATAAGAGGAACAAAAGGATAAGAGGCACAATAGGATAAGAGGCACAAAAGGATAAGAGGCACAAAAGGATAAGAGGAACAAAAGGATAAGAGGCACAAAAGGATAAGAGGAACAAAAGGATAAGAGGCACAATAGGATAAGAGGCACAAAAGGATAAGAGGCACAATAGGATAAGAGGCACAAAAGGATAAGAGGCACAAAAGGATAAGAGGCACAAAAGGATAAGAGGCACAAAAGGATAAGAGGCACAAAAGGATAAGAGGCACAATAGGATAAGAGGCACAAAAGGATAAGAGGCACAATAGGATAAGAGGCACAAAAGGATAAGAGGCACAAAAGGATAAGAGGCACAATAGGATAAGAGGCACAAAAGGATAAGAGGCACAAAAGGATAAGAGGCACAAAAGGATAAGAGGCACAAAAGGATAAGAGGCACAAAAGGATAAGAGGCACAAAAGGATAAGAGGCACAAAAGGATAAGAGGCACAATAGGATAAGAGGCACAAAAGGATAAGAGGCACAAAAGGATAAGAGGCACAAAAGGATAAGAGGAACAAAAGGATAAGAGGCACAAAAGGATAAGAGGCACAAAAGGATAAGAGGCACAAAAGGATAAGAGGCACAAAAGGATAAGAGGCACAAAAGGATAAGAGGCACAAAAGGATAAGAGGCACAAAAGGATAAGAGGCACAAAAGGATAAGAGGCACAAAAGGATAAGAGGCACAAAAGGATAAGAGGCACAAAAGGATAAGAGGCACAAAAGGATAAGAGGCACAATAGGATAAGAGGCACAAAAGGATAAGAGGCACAAAAGGATAAGAGGCACAAAAGGATAAGAGGCACAAAAGGATAAGAGGCACAAAAGGATAAGAGGCACAAAAGGATAAGAGGCACAAAAGGATAAGAGGCACAAAAGGATAAGAGGCACAAAAGGATAAGAGGCACAAAAGGATAAGAGGCACAAAAGGATAAGAGGCACAAAAGGATAAGAGGCACAAAAGGATAAGAGGCACAAAAGGATAAGAGGCACAAAAGGATAAGAGGCACAAAAGGATAAGAGGCACAAAAGGATAAGAGGCACAAAAGGATAAGAGGCACAAAAGGATAAGAGGCACAAAAGGATAAGAGGCACAAAAGGATAAGAGGCACAAAAGGATAAGAGGCACAAAAGGATAAGAGGCACAAAAGGATAAGAGGCACAAAAGGATAAGAGGCACAAAAGGATAAGAGGCACAAAAGGATAAGAGGCACAAAAGGATAAGAGGCACAAAAGGATAAGAGGCACAAAAGGATAAGAGGCACAAAAGGATAAGAGGCACAAAAGGATAAGAGGCACAAAAGGATAAGAGGCACAAAAGGATAAGAGGCACAAAAGGATAAGAGGCACAAAAGGATAAGAGGAACAAAAGGATAAGAGGCACAATAGGATAAGAGGCACAAAAGGATAAGAGGCACAAAAGGATAAGAGGCACAAAAGGATAAGAGGAACAAAAGGATAAGAGGCACAATAGGATAAGAGGCACAAAAGGATAAGAGGCACAAAAGGATAAGAGGCACAAAAGGATAAGAGGCACAAAAGGATAAGAGGCACAAAAGGATAAGAGGCACAAAAGGATAAGAGGCACAAAAGGATAAGAGGCACAAAAGGATAAGAGGCACAAAAGGATAAGAGGCACAAAAGGATAAGAGGCACAAAAGGATAAGAGGCACAAAAGGATAAGAGGCACAAAAGGATAAGAGGCACAAAAGGATAAGAGGCACAAAAGGATAAGAGGCACAATAGGATAAGAGGCACAAAAGGATAAGAGGCACAAAAGGATAAGAGGCACAAAAGGATAAGAGGCACAAAAGGATAAGAGGCACAAAAGGATAAGAGGCACAAAAGGATAAGAGGCACAAAAGGATAAGAGGAACAAAAGGATAAGAGGCACAATAGGATAAGAGGCACAAAAGGATAAGAGGCACAAAAGGATAAGAGGCACAAAAGGATAAGAGGCACAAAAGGATAAGAGGCACAAAAGGATAAGAGGCACAAAAGGATAAGAGGCACAAAAGGATAAGAGGCACAATAGGATAAGAGGCACAAAAGGATAAGAGGCACAAAAGGATAAGAGGCACAAAAGGATAAGAGGCACAAAAGGATAAGAGGCACAAAAGGATAAGAGGCACAAAAGGATAAGAGGCACAAAAGGATAAGAGGCACAATAGGATAAGAGGCACAAAAGGATAAGAGGCACAAAAGGATAAGAGGCACAAAAGGATAAGAGGCACAAAAGGATAAGAGGCACAAAAGGATAAGAGGCACAAAAGGATAAGAGGCACAAAAGGATAAGAGGCACAAAAGGATAAGAGGCACAAAAGGATAAGAGGCACAAAAGGATAAGAGGCACAAAAGGATAAGAGGCACAAAAGGATAAGAGGATAAGAGGCACAAAAGGATAAGAGGCACAAAAGGATAAGAGGAACAAAAGGATAAGAGGCACAAAAGGATAAGAGGCACAAAAGGATAAGAGGCACAAACGGACCACGGGGAATAAGAAAAGAGAGGCATGGAGCATGGCGATGACAGTAGGATGGGGAGTAGAGTGAAGATGGATGGGTGTATGGAAGGATGGGAGGATGGTTCTCACGAATTCTCAGTAACCAACCAGTCTCAGATGGTTGGACGGGTAGGAGAATGGGTGGTGGACTGATGGATGGGTGGGTGGATGGGTGGGTGGATGGGTGCGTGGATGGGTGCGTGGATGGGTGGGTGGATGGGTGCGTGGATGGGTGCGTGGATGGGTGCGTAGATGAGTGCGTGGATGGGTGCGCGGATGGGTGCGTGGATGGGTGGGTGAGTGGGTGAATGGACAAAAGAACAAGGACCCGTCCCCAACACACCTGCCTGTCCGGCCCCTTGATTTGAGTGTATGTGTGGCTGTGGCCTTCCCCCAGGTGAATGGTGTCGATGCACACTGAGAGGTCGCCGTTGGAGAGCACCACAGAGTCTCGAGAGAAGCTGACTGCCACCGCGTAGGAGCACTGGATGAGACCGGGGAGAGTGGTGGATGGTACCTGGGGGGAAATAGAGGAGAGGGGAAAAGGGGGTTTGGGAGGGACGGAGAGCACATCCAATACACCAGAGTCTCGAGAGGAGCTGTCTGCCACCGCGTAGGAGCACTGGATGAGACCAGGCAGGGTGGTAGACGGCACCTGGGGGAAGGACAAGAGTTGCGAGATCAGGAAAGGAGAGTTGGGAGAGGAGAAGGTGGGGGAAGGGAAAGAACCAGAGTCTCATGAGAAGCTGACTGCTACCGCATAGGAGCATTGGATGAGACCCGGGAGCGTGGTGGATGGCACCTGGAGGGGTTATGGGAGAACCTGACAGCCACAGCATATGAGCTGTGGACACGAAGTAACACTGAAGGCTCAGTGCTAGGAAGATAAGGATGTGATGTGGTGGTGGTGGACAGGCAGGAGCAGCTCCTGCCCACCACACGTTGATAACCAACCATGAGGAAGTACCGGATGCCGCACTGCCGCACTGCCGCACTGCCACACTGGAATCCACTCCAAACCCAGCTATGAGGAGCCCACCTCAGGACAGCAAGTTGCTCGGAGACTCGGTGCAAGGCAAATGACGATGGGGATTCTTGAAGCCCACCTCGAACTCAGCACGGGGCCGGATGATGAAGCTTCTGTCGACCACGCGTTGATCGCCCACAGAGAGGAAGTAACGGATGCCACATTGCCGCACTCGGATCCACTCCTTGGTGCGCGTGGGGTTGTGCGGGGGTGACAAATACACATCCACATAACTGGGGGGGGTTGGGTGAGACATGTGGGGGGAAGAGAAGGGGGGGTGTTGTGGGGGGGAGACAGGTACACATGCACGTAGGTGAAGGGGATGGGGGAAAGCGCGAGGTGAGTGAGGTGAGTGAGGTGAGGCATGAAAGTTTGGCCATAAGTAACGGATGCTGCACTGTCACACCCGGATATTCCATGCATGTGGTTTGGTGCAAGCGTTGATTCAACTCGAGAGACTTTCCTTCCGGGTCGCCTCGCCACGTGCGGCACTCGCTGCGTGTGGTGCCATTTCTTGGATTGTCTTAACCAGGGTAGTGACGACTGAGTTTCCTTGCCAGCTCACCGGTACTCGTTGCGTGTGGTGCGGGTTGACCCCAGCACCTGCTTCACTCTCTCCTCTTCCACCTAACATGCAGGTAGAAGGACACGTCAGCACATGCAAAGGGTACATCGTGAGGCACAAAATGAGTGGGGAGAATATGGAAGGGTTGAATACACGTTGGTTTGGTGAAGGGTAGAAAATACAGCAATCTGGACTGGGCCAAAAGAAAAAAAGACCAAGCAAACAAGTAAACAAACAAAAAAGTACGAATACATGAGGTGAAAAAGCAGCTACCACTTTAATCACAGCGACCAGAAATGATTCATTAACATGTATAATCGAGGGCAATTGAAAGGAAATTGAGCCTCACAATTTGAGGGCAACTGAAAGGAAATTGAGCCTCACAATCTGATCGGACTTGAGAATGTAGAAGGGGTGGCGGAGGGAGTCAGCAACAAAGCTGTTGCTGATGCGGATCTGATGTGGGGGGAGCAGCACGGGGGCGGGGGGGGGAGAGAAGGGGGAACGGAGGGGATGGAGGGGACTGCTGCGCTGGCTGGCTGGATGTGGAGAAGGAATGGCAAGGAGAGACAGGGAGCATGGTAGAGGCGAGTGAGAGGTGGAGGCTCAGAAGGTACCACCGAGGGCTTGAAACTCCAAATGGCAATACCAAAAGCCCTGTACCTCTGCGTGTGTGCGAGTGTGGGCTCGATGTGGAGAGGGAAGGCCGGGAACACCGAGTGCATGACAGAGGCGAGTGACAGCTGGAGGCCGCTCTGTGCCACGTCAGACTTGACCCGCTGAAGCAGCGTGTAGTGCACCCCTCCTACCACGGCAATCCCAAGGTCCAACAATGGGCGGAGGCGTGCGTGTAACGCGTATACTCCCTTAAGGAGAATCTGGAAGGGAGGGCGGGGGAATGTGGCTGTAAACCAACAGCGTGTAGTGCACCCCCCCCACCACGGCAATCCCAAGGTTCAGCAGGGGATGCAGCGCAGGCGTGAGTGCAGTGCGTACACGCCCTTGAGAAGAATCTGAGAGAGAGGGGGTATGGGTTGTTTGTACTTGCTGTTTGCTAATACAAACAAAGGACCGCTTGGGGGTATGGGGTTGGAATCAGGAAGTGTAAGTCCACTGTCCACCTTCCAGCACCACGACAATGCCGAGTTTTGCCCACGGGCTGCAGGTGTGTGCTTGAAGGAACGAATGAGAATTTGAAGGGAAAGTCACCAGAAATAAGGAACGAGTGCTTGAAGGGGAACACACGTATGATGTAACGAGAGTTTTTACAATGCATCCTGACTTGTTTGCTGCTGCTGTGATGTATGTAGTGCAGAGCAGAGTTTTTGAAATTTCTCAAAAACCGTTTGTCTGAAGTGCTGATTAGACCCGCGTATTCCTTTTCTTTCTGTACCTTAGCGAAGCAAATTTACAACTCACCACAGTGGAAGGTGACGGCGTGATGAGGCGGAACCCCGAGCGGCGGCGGTCAACCGAGTCAAAGAGAGGCATCTCGATGGGCCGCCCTGCAAGCAGGTCCTGCGATGAGTGTTGGGATCACACAGAAAGAGAGGACAGGGCTTCAGGTCTTTCAAGCGTGAAACTGTGAGGCGGTCAACAAGTCAAAGAGGGGCATCTCGATGGGGCGCCCTGCTAGCAGGTCCTATGCTGTGCGGTTTGGTAGGTGGGCGTACACAGAGAGGACGGGATAGGGCTTCAGTTCAGGCTAAGCATGTGGGAACAGTCAACTGAGTTAAAAATGGAGATTTTGATGGGGCGCAGCGCAGGCAAAAAGTCCTGTGATGAGCGTTGTGGGTACACACAGAAAGAGAGGATAAGGATCAACTAAAATAAGCATGTAGGTAGGTATGATCAAGAGAGTCAGCAACAGGACACCTATCCATGCCCGCACGCACCTGCGTGAGTTCAGACGTGCACGCACCTGCATGTTGCACGCACCTGCATGTTGCGGTACAACAGCGCCATGTTGAGAGCATCCACATCATGCATGTCGCCCCTCCCTTTCACAGCATACACCTACCCCATACATCCATCCATACAAGCGCATGCATGCATGCCCCTACCTCTGGGTACTGACTAGAGCATGTGGTGATGCATCTGCATGTTGCTGTCACCTGCATGCCCCTACTCCTGGGTACTGACTCTTTCACCTGCATGTGGCGATGCAGCAGCGCCATGTCCAGTGCCTTCACATCATGCATGTCAGATGTTAGCCTTGCTGCACTCATTCATCCATCCATCCATCCATCCATCCATGCATGCAAGCACTCACCTACCCCATGCACGCACCTGCATGAGGCGATGCAACAGCGCCACGTCAAGAGCATTCACACATCATGCATGTCAGATGTTACCCTCGCTACATGTACCTACACCCATGCATGCACCCACTCATTCACGTGCATGTGGCGGTGCAACAGCGCCATGTCAAGAACATCACGCATGTCACATGTTGCCCTCCCTGCATCCAGCCATGCATCCAGCCATGCATCCAGCCATGCATCCAGCCATCATGCATGATGCACGCACCTACGGCCAGTCACCTGCACGTGGCGGTGCAACAGCGCCATGTCGAGAGCATTCACATCATGCATGTCGCCCGTCCCCCTCGCTGCATGCGCTTCCCCTTTGCATGCACCTACACCTCGGTCACGCACCTGCATGTGGCGGTGCAATAACTCCATGTCGAGAGCATTCACGTCATGCATGTCGCCCGTCCCCCTCGCTGCATCCATGTAGTTCACCTGCTCTATCACCGTTCCCTCCAGCATGCTGGCAATGCGATGTGCCAGACTGAAAGGGGAGGAGAGTGGGAAACAACAACAGTGAGGGAGATTGAGAACAGACAGAAATTAGCACGGCAATGCTTACATCCATGACTACAACATGCCATGCCATGCCATGCGATGCCATACCATACCATGCCGTGTGATCACTCATCATACAAACATACTTCGATTTGCAATAGAGTGTACTTCCAAATACATGCCATACCATTCCGTGTGATCACTCATCATACAAACATACTTCGATTTGCAATAGAGTGTACTTCCAAATACATGCCATACCATTCCGTGCGATCACTCATCATACAGACATACCTCAACTTGCCAGACCCAGACGGTCCCCCAATTCCCACCAGCAGTGGTCTCTTCCCCCCATGGCTCTGGTGGAGTTCCCCTATGCCACAGCAAGGTGACATGACATGCCATGCCGTGCCATAACATGCTAACCATGCCGTGCCATGCCATGCTAACCATGCCGTGCCATGCCATGCCATGCCATGCCATGCCATGCACTGGTCAGCATACCTTGACTTGCCAGACCCAGACGGCCCCCCAATCCCCACCAGCAGCGGCCGCTCCCCCCCATGGCTCCGGATTCGTTCCCTCAGCTCCTGAATGGCCCGCACTGCTATGAAATGGCCCGCATCCAGGGACTGGGAGGAGGGGGGATTAGAGAGGGGGGAGGGGAGGGAGTGTTGGGGTCATGATCACATATGCAGCATCAATCCCTGGCGCTTCTTCATCTCCTGAATGACACGCACGGCAATGACGTGCCCTGCATCTAGGGATTGCGCGGAGAGGGGGAAGAGGAAACAGAGAGGAAGGCGGGGTGGGGGGGAGGAAAAGGGAAAGAGTGTGAGAACTGATATGCAGCATCATCAGTGCTGGCGCTCTCTCTGTTCCTGAATAGCACATGAAGCTTAGGGAACGTCAGAACGGAGTGCTGATGCTTTCTGTGCAGTGCCACAAGCGAATAACCACAGGGGTGAGGGAGGGAAACGGGGGCAAGGGAGCGAGTGGAGGTAACTGTGGGGATAATAGTGTTTGTACAACTCAGCAGCCAAACATTACGAAAAAAACACTCGTTCCGTGGGTGATCTCTCCAATAATACTCCCAGCCAAGTTGCCTGTACGTTTCTCAGAACCACGTGTGAACGGTACACACCATGGTCCAACAAAAGGTGTCAGGAATGGGATTCGAACCCATGCCCTTTCGGACCAGTACCTGAAACTGGCGCCTTAGACCAACTCGGCCATCCTGACATGTCCGTCCTAGCTAACATGCCATTACTGGCAGGAAACATAGCCGCACCATCAAAATTCTGTTGATCTTTCACCTACATACACCATTTCCCCTCCCCCCACCTTACTCTAGCGGCTTCCCCTCCCTCCCTACACACCTTTTGCGCATCGACACACACACACGCACTCACATCAGTATTTTTTAGCCAACCGAAAAGCACACGCACACGCATAACTATGTAAATTCACGCTCCCATACCAGTCTTAAAACGTTTCTAAACATTCACCCACTCGCCTACCAGCTCCTTGGCGATTGGCACCAGCCCTCCACGGCCCCGCTCCCCCGGCATCCCCCCGCGCATCCCCCGCGCATCTTCCCGCGCATCCCTGCGCTCAACCTGCAGCAGCCCCAGCAGCTGCCGGTGATCCAGCACGTCCGAGTCGCCATCGCCCCCATTAACGGACGCACTTAACGATGGCGATGATCCCGAGGCTCGGCCCGCGCCGCCATGGATGGACGACGGGGGAAACATCGCGGTGTAGCACCGAAGGCCTCTACGTCATGCCGCGGAAAGAGGCTTGCTAAACGACCCCTGAGGTACCTCAAAATTCGCCTCTATGTTTTGCTCAGAAAAGAGAATCGGCTTCTTCACCGCGGCGCGTGATATGAATAAGCTGATCCGCCGGCGAATTCTGTGGTAACCTAGCTCGTCTGTCGAGCCCTGCGAGCTATCGCTAGAGGAGTAAGGCCCCCTACGGAGCCACTAAATGATGTCAGCTCCCAAAGAATCGTATGGCAAAATAAAAATTGAAGCAGGGAGTAATGATGATGAGGTGCAGTTTTGCTTCTCAAATCCTCAACCGCGTTGGTTTCCTATTATATACGGACGCGTGACGTCAGCACATGCCGCCCCGCCTGCCCTGCCACAAAACTCTCAAACTCTCTGATGCGCAACGAAACCTACTTGAACCGTACCAGTGTGAACCACAGTGTGAATTTCGAATGGGAGGGGTGACAGGGGTGCGCTGAAAGGCGGGAAGCGGAGGCCTGGCATGGTTGGAAAAGGCAAGATACGTGTGATTGGTCTAGAAGACGTAGCGGTGGGGTCAAAGTGGTCCCTCCAAGGAAGAACCACGAATTGGGTCGTTGGCGTCGTGTTGACGTGTAAAACATTGATTGCTCAATGAGGCACATGAGCTGTGACAGAAAACTGTGACGCGTCGCTAGCGTCAGGCGACGGATTGCTGATGTTATAAATGGACAGTGACTGTCCGCTCTATTGGCGTCTTGCACCATGAAGAAATGTGAGAAATCCTTCTAAGGGCAACACTCTAACGGACCTAACGAGCAAACCATGTCGCCGGAAAGCTCCAAGCCTAGTGCCCAACTCATCGATTAAAAAAAAAAAAAAAAAAAAAAAAAAAAAAAAAAAAACCGATCTAGCCATATATTCTGCCAATAATGCGGCCGGTGAGATTGTAGAGGAAGAAGCACGGAGCCGCTGCATCCAAGATGGACAATTCGGGGTCGAGCGTCTGGCCGAACCCCACTAGAATACACATGGCGATAAGGAGCGAGGCATAGGAGGAATGCACTGTGACATGGTGCACCCAGCATATCCGGAGAACCTGCACACAAAAAACAAAACATAAAGCATCTTATTCAGTTTGTCCACAAAGGCGACGCACGACATGTGTGTGGTGTGGTGCCATGCAACTTAGACAGAACCAAGCATTGTAACTCCCACCTTTTTAAGCACGTCGTTAAGATCCATGCATCGGTGGTGTAGCTGGCAGTCTCTGGCAAACAGCTCCCGCATGTCAGCCTCTAGTGCTTCCCGGTTGGTGCAGCGCTGGGGGAACGGTGCCGCGAACCGAAGCAAAAAGTGGGTCTGCTTATAGGGGTACAGGAGGGACACAATAAGGAAGAAAAGAGATGGGGATCAAGTGAACCGCTTGCTTTGGGCGTTGGATGACCTGATGAAGGCGATGAAGGTTGAGAAGGAGTGGGTGGGGGGGGGGGCGAAGGAGGAGAGAGGGAAGGAAGCGGGAAGGGGGAAAGGTACACAACACGTACAGCTTGCGTGGAGTTGGAGGACATGATAGAGGTACAAGTATCAAATTCTTGTCGGGAGAGAAGCAGGGAGAGCACTGACCGCTTGCTTGGCGTTGGAGGACATGATAGAGGCGATGAAGCAGAGGAAGTTGGAGCGCACGTGCGCTGTGAGGTCCTCCATCAGCCCATAGTCCAGAATCACCAGCTGTAGTGCTCCCTGCTGCTCCTGCCCCTCCTGTTGTAGCGGCCCCGTCTGCAGCGCGCCCTCTCCTGTGGCTTGTGAAGGTGGGGGTGCCGCCATGCGAGCGAGGATGTTCCCAGGGTGCAGGTCCAGATGAATGTGGTTGTCCTGTAGCAGCATCTTCAGGTAGGCGTCCACGCCCACTGCTGCTATCTGCCATGGGAGAAACAGGGGGAGGACAGGAGTAGGCAAGTCAATGACAGAGGGAGCAGGGAGCGAAGGAGAATGAAGGCGTTGGGAGGGGTGCAGGTCCAGGTGGATGTGGTTGTCCTGTAGCAGCATCTTCAAATACGCGTCCACCCCCACTGCTGCTATCTGCCAGGGCAAGGGGGGAGGAATGATGAATGTGACAGCTGAGAGGGGTTGGTCGATTCAATTTGCAGGTCCAAGTGGATGTGGCTGACTTTTGAGAATTCTCAAAAGTGATTCCCAAATTGCAGGTCCAAGTGGATGTGGCTGTCGTGTAGCAGCATTTGGAGATAGGCATTCACGCCCCGCCCACTGCTGCTATCTGCCATGTGGAGAGGAGACCACAGGGAGACCACAGGGAGGCCACAGGGAGAACACAGGGAGACCACAGGGAGACCACAGGGAGACCACAGGGAGACCACAGGGAGACCACAGGGAGACCACAGGGAGACCACAGGGAGACCACAGGGAGAACACAGGGAGACCACAGGGGCACGCAAGTCAGTGACAGCAGGCTGAGAGGGGTTCAGGTGGATGTGGTTCAGCAACGCTAGGTAAACGCCCCTCCCACTGCTGCTACCTGCCGTGCGAGGAGGAAAAAAGCGCGGATTCAGCATAACTGCAGGAAGGAAGACATCCACAGCGGTATGGAACTAGCACCTGTGTGTTGAGCGAGCTGTTCTCCTTGGAGTGCAGGAACCGGTGCAGCGGCTCCCCGCGCTCAAAGCTCTCCACGATGACTCCTTCGGACACCAGGTGAGGCAGCACCTGAGCGATCACCACCCTCTCCCTCACGGGATAGAAGTCGGTGTACAGGCGGTGCGCGTGATACGCCTCCACTCTCAAGTCAGCCTGGGAGGGAGGGAATGGTTGAGAGGGGGAGGAAAGGAAGATAGGTGAGCAGCTTTCCACAATCACTTCCTCCGACACCAGGTGCGGCAGCACCTGAGCGATCACCACCCTCTCCCTCATGGGGTAAAAATCATTGTACAGGCGTGCGCGTGGTATGCCTCCACCCTCAGATCCGCCTTCAATCCCTCAGATCCGCCTTCACCCTCAGATCCGCCTTCACCCTCAGATCCGCCTGGGAAGGGGGTGAAAGATTGCGAGGGAAGGAGAGGAAGAGAGGTCAGCGGGAATATCATGCCCCTTGAGGTCAGCAGCAGTTCTCCAGCGACCTCATGCCCCTTGAGGTCAGCAGCAGTTCTCCACGACCTCCTCAGACACCAGATGAGGCAGCACCTGAGCGATCACCCCCCTCTCCCTCATGGGATAGAAGTCGGTGTACAGGCAGTGTACAGGCATCGTATGCCTCCACACGCAGGTCAGCCTGGGGGGGGAGGAGAGAAAAACGACCCCTCAGGCACCAGCTTCAGCTGCATGTGAGCGGCCTCATTGCATAGGAGTCCCCACCGGCTTTATACAGGCCGTGCACAGGGCAAGCCAGATCCCCGCCCTATCGATGCCCTTCTCACCTGTTCCCTCATCGTGTGGCTCAACTCAACTGCTCCAGGCCATCCTGCAGCCGAATCCCCTTGAGCCCCGGCACACACTCAACCTCAAGCCCACTTTCCCCTGCTCCTGGTCTTCCCTTGGATCCCCCCTTTATCGCATGCTCACCTGCTCTCTCATCATGTGGCTGAACTGGTCAAGGCTATCCTGCAACCGAATTCACTTGAATCTCTACTCCTGCTTTATCCTTATCCTTCTGTGCAACCAACTGCCCATAAAACCCAACCTAGAATTTACCATCCTCACCTGCTCTCTCATCGTGTGACTGAACTGCTCGAGACTATCCTGCAGCCGCCGAATCCACCTGAGCCCCGGAACCCGATCCACCACTGCAGCCACCCCCGCCATCACCTCAAAGTCCTGCTTGATCCTCAACCCCACGCGTGGATGCCTTACTTTCACCACCACCCACTCGGGCACGTGCGCACACGCACCCCTCACTCTCGCCCGGTGCACCTGCGCTATGCTCCCCGACGCCAGCGCCTCCCTCTCAAACTCCACAAACAGATCCTCCAACGCACACCCGAGGTATTTCTGCACGGCGCGGCGGGTGTGCGAGAAGGAATGCGTGGGGGCGTGGTCTTGCAGGGACCCGAGGACGAGGCAGAGGGAGGGAGGGAGCAGGTCTTCTCTGGTGGAGGCCCATTGTCCCCATTTGATGAACGCTGCTCCCCCGCGGCGCAGGGCGAAGAGTAGAAGCTGGTGGATCGCGTCGCGGCACCGCTGCTTCATGGAAGGTTCCGTTTGGGAGGCTTCCTGCGCGCGGTGGCGGCTTGCTGTGGAAAAGACTCGTTTGAAGGAGCTTCGTTTGAAGAACCTTGCGTGGATTGGATCTGCTGCGCCGGATTGGCCACCACCCTCTTGCTCTCCCCTGACTCTTCTCCTGCTGCTTTCTTCTCCTCGCCTATCTGTCCGTCTGGCAATAGGTGGTGCAGCAGCAGCAGGAGGGGCCGAGGAGGAGGAGGGGGGAGAAGATGAGAGCAAGAAAGAGAGCCGGAGGAAGAGAGAGAAAGCTTGCTGCCAACGCGACAGCGGCCAATCAGAGCGCGCCACGTGTCCCTGCTGGGGTTGTGAGAGGGGTGTGGCTGTTGTTAGAGGGGGGTACGTGAGTCTCTCCTTCTTTAGTCACGTTCGGTAATGGCACAGGGTCTGGTAAGCCTTGGCACTGGTGGCATTGTCTTGCTAAAGGAACGGCACTAATGCTCTTGGTGTTGCTGCTGCTGCTGCTGCTTCTAAGGCACCTAAAAAATAACGAGATTGCACTGTTGCTGTTGTTGTTGCTACTGCTAGTGTTTCTGCTGCTCCTGCTGCAGTTGCTCCCTTTGCTCGCACGTTCGCTGCTGCTAAGGCTGTTGCTAGTGGGGCTGGTACTGGTGCTGCTGGGGGGCTGCTGCAGCCGCTACTGGTGTCTGATCCATTCCAAGTGCTGCTGTCACTGATTATCATATCACTACTGCTATCCAAACTGCTGCTCCTACTGCTGATGCTGCTCATGCTGCCGCTGTTGCTGCTGCTCATGGCCCTCCCTTTCTCCACTCTCTCCTCAACGCCCTTCTCTCTCCGCCCCACTGCCTGCCCCACTTCCCCCTTCTCCACCTCCTCTTGTTGAGGTTTGCAAGAGCGGAACGGCGAAGAGAGAGGAAAGGAGAGAGTGACCAGAGTGTGAGAGGAAGGCCAAGGGTGGGGTGATGGGAGGGATGGGGAAGGGAAGGGGAAGGGTGGCCCTGCTGCTGCTGCTGCTGCTGCTGCTGCTGCGGATGATACCAATGACTGAGGGAGGATGGGAGTTGGCATGATGTAGGGGGCGGCGCTGTTTGTCCTGTAGTGAAGCAGAGTGGCGGCTTCTGTCAGGTCCAAGACGCCACCAGCCTGTGGGATGCTGCCACGTGGCGAGAGGAGAAATGGAGAATGCGAATGAAGGACACACATGAGAGTTACTGATGTGTGATGCAAAATACGCAATGTATTCATAATTTCATTTGCAATTCATTTGCAGAACACGTACCCCTTGCTTTAGGAAACGCTCAAAAGTCACCTTGAAATACATCCATGTACATCGCCCACTCTCATGCAACATAGGATGGAAAGATGCGTCCCATCTCACTCGTGGTACGTCTTGATCAGCTTCGCCACTCAGCTCACTGCTCTCCTATGCGCACTCCACCTTGCCGCCTCGCCCTCCCTCCCCTTCTAATGACACCCTTCAGACTCTTTACCGGAATGGTCCTGCACAGGGCCCATCACAAGCCACTCACTCGTGGTACGTCTTGATCAGCTTCGCCACTCGGCTTGCTGCTCTCCTATGTGCCCTCCGCCATGCTGCCTCCCCCTCCCTCCCACAAACACTATTCAGACTCAATATAAGACAGCCCATCACAAGCCACTCACTTGTGGTACGTCTTGATCAGCTTCGCCACTCGGCTTGCCGCCCTTCTATGCGCCCTCCGCCATGCTGCCTCCCCCTCCCTCCCACACGCCCCTGCTGGACCCTTCCCCACCCGCACCCGCACTCGCTCATACTCCACTGCTATTGGTAAGGATGCGCCTAGGCAGACCAACGTGTGCTGTAAGAGGAGGAGGCACAGGGGCGGGGGAGGGAGGGAGAGGGGAGAGCGGGGAGCGGGGATAGGGAAAAAAACGACCCATCTGTTATCATTCGCGCCACCTGAGCACGCGCTTGCTCATACTCCATGTTTATGGGCATTTTAAAATTTAAGGGATGCTACCAGACATACCCGCGTGTGCTGTATGGAAGAAAGAAGGGAGGGTGTGTTGACCATTCAAAGGTATGGCACGCTGATTAAAAAAAGGAAGCCTCTCATGATGCATCCAGCGAATCTCGGCACAACTCAACTCACATGCAATCTCGGCGCCATTCTCTTCAGAATCGCCCCGCCCATGCCACCGCCACTGCCGCCCTCCCAAACACGCCTCCGCCTCCCCCGCCTCCCCCATTCTCCCCCCAACCTTCCCCCTCCGCCTCCCCTGGCGCATGCAGGTGCACTTGGCGCAGGTGCCTTCCCCACCATGCTCCACGTCAGCAACAGCCAGGTCACGCTCGCACTGCCAGCATGCAGCCTCAACATGCAGGAGGCATGCACGCACGTCAGCATGCATTGCAGATGACTCAGCTACAGGATCATTACAACCACTGTTGTTATAATTAACGCTGTCTATATCATCAGAATAATAATCATCGCCATCATCACTGTAAGAACCTCCATCCCCGTTTATGGCCGACTCGTTTTCAGTCCACAAGTCCTCATCCCCGTCCTCCTCACCATTCGCCCCACTCTCCCCATCCTCCCCATTCCCCAACCCCATCACTCAAATCAGCATCCCCCAATTCCTCCGACTCCCCTTCCCCGCTCAGGCTGATTTCCCCTTTTCCCCGCCTGTGCTGCTGGCTAGGCGCGGGCGCAAGGGGAGGCGGAGGAAGAGTAGGCGGGAGAGCGGGGCGAGGGCGCGGGAGAATGGGGAGAGGAGGCGGGAGAGGGGAGAGAGGAGGGGCGAGGAGGAGAGGAGGTGGAGGAGAGCGAGAGTGGGTGTTGCGACAGAAAAGGACGCTGGAAAAAGTGCCTGTCCAGAAAGCGAAGGGAGGGGAGAGGGGGACGGGGAATGGGAACAGGGGAAGGGGAGAAGGAAATGGGGAAAGGGATGGGGAAAAGGGAGAGGGAGATGAGAGAAATCAAGAACACGAAATGGAGAGAGGAAGGGAAGCAAGAGGACGGGAGGGGTAAGGAGGGGAAGGAAGAGAAAGGGAGGGAAAGGAAGGGGAAGGGAGGGGAAGGGAGGGGAAGGGAGGGGAAGGGGGGGAAGGGAGGGAAGTGGAGGGTTGGGGGACGAGAAGCGACGAGAGTCTGTTGTTTGTCTGTTGCTGGACTTGGCGAAACACTGGGCACGTGGCAGATGGAGATTCTCTATGCATCACACGGATTGGAACACGTGGCACGTGCCTGGATAGCTATGAACACGTGGCACGTGCCTGAATAGAATTGAACACGTGGGATGAAAAGAAACTAGTCCACATAGCTTAACGCCTTGCTCTCCCCTCCTCCACCTTTATTCAGATCGGCACGCTGAACTACCTGGCAGAGGAGAAGCAGCGCTGCAGCGTTTCCTGTCTGCAGCAGCTTTGCAACTGCTGACGTTGACAATGGTGCTGAAGATGCTATTAACGAGGATGATAATAACGAGGATGGTGCTGCTGCTGGCGATGAGGGGAACTGTGATGCCACTTTTGATGATCGCCTTTGTCTACGGCACTTATGATCGTGCAAGGATGACCGTCCGATTCCAGCACACTCCACCGCCACTTGCACCACGTGCAGAGTCACATGCTGCCAAGAGATGCCGCCCAGTCCACCTGGACCCATCCCCAACCGCAGCGGCAGCCACACGTGCGCCTTCCCATTCCCCCTGGGGGGGAGGCGGACGGCGCGGGAAAGTGGCGGATGCGGGGACGGGGGCCGCGGGTGGTGCGGCTGTGGGTGGCGGAAAGCGGGGAGGCTGCGACTGGGAGAAGGCGCGCAGACCAGTTGGGGGGAAGAGATGGCTGTCGTGGATTACGGGGAGATGGGGAGGGAGGGGAGGGGAAGGGTGGGGAAAGTGGGGGGAGGAGGGGAGGAGGGCAGGGATGGTGGAAAGGGACGGAGTGCGGGGATGGGTACGTTTGACATGGGTATGTTGTATCGCCGTCTTAGCAGCGCAATCTAAAGAGCCGTCACAGAATCGCCTGATCGCACGTTGTCGCTATTAACGACAGTGCGACCTGCAGTTACAAGCACGGAACCGCAATCGACCTTGGAATATGCGAGGGACATTGTCTCCGTGATGAAGCGCCTTGAAAATAGACGCGTTGCACTGTACCTTGGAGTTCCTCGAGTTATCTTGCGAGAAGGACATCGCGCCTGCTTGTAACGCGTACGTCCTTTTCTAAAATTCGAAGTGTCCTTTAAGCGCTTGAGCTGAATAGAAGGCCCATAGTTCCAGTGCATGTCGAGCCGTGCCTCGCTAACATAAACACCGGCGGAATCTGCCGGAATCGACGGACTGCGAAGGATTCGTTCATGGCCGTCGTCCGCCAGCCGCAACATCGCGTGCATCTACGTTACCGAGGCATGTCGATGATCGAACGGCCATTGTCGTTACTTCTGGCTGGGCGTGTTGTGCGGCGAGCCACATGACCATTCCACAAAGATGACATGTAACTTGTTCGTTCATGATTCTTGACAGCACTTGCTTCCTTGTTGCTCCCAGTCCCACCAGAAACGCAAAACCAGTTCCAGTTTGTCAAGCATCCATTGTCGCTCTCAACGAAACTCCTATCCAAGCAGTTGAATACTAAACAAAACGCACTGAAAGGCTGATAATCTCACCCAACCGCATCCTTTGGCTCCCCCTCTGCTCTTATGCACTGTGTGAATGATTCATGCCCGAATATGTGCATCCCCCAGTGCGAGGCATGTTGCGCACCCAGTTCTGTGGTGGTGATCTGCTGCTGCCATTTCTGCGGTGAAGATGCCAGCAGAGGCGCAGGGTGAGGAGCACCAACGGTTCGATTTGCATCAGGGTGAGGAGGAGGTGAGGGGAGGAGCGGAGAGGAGAGAGTGGTGAGGTGGTGTGGTGTGTGGAGGAAAGCCAGGCATTCCTCTCCATCTCCAACCAGCCAGCCAGTCGAGAAATTCTAGGCGTTCCAGTTTTGCTGTCGGAATTTCCGAGGCAGGAGAATTTCAGCCACTCGTATGCATCCCGAGGCTAGCGGTGCGCCACTTGTCATACTCGACAGCAAACGATTCTTCATAACAAGTTTTACATCAGGCGTATGTTCTTTCTTCAAAGAAGCTTCAGCAAGCCCAAAATTCCACCTACGGTACTGTATTTCTCTCTAGAAAGCACACATCCAAAATGGCTCCGCTAATCAAATCAAAGTATTCCGCCAGACGCGAAAGGACAAACTATTTCGCCTTTTTCAGAAGCCGCTGTATATAACCTCCAATCATCCAGTGCGTGTTGTGGAGGCGAAAGCAACGCTGACCCACTAAAGAATTCATGTAGTCCGGCACGCTGAAGGGTACAAGACAGGACAGCATAAGGTACGAAGAAAGGAAAACACTTTGGAAAACATTAGGAGTCAAGACCATGCATTGAATTGAGTGGCCAAAAACAGGAGCAGCAAGGGCGGCCAAGAGCACACTAAGGGCAACAAAGGGCACACACAACACAACGCCTCGTATGCGATTGGCTCATGGAGGACAAGTCCACAAATAAAACATCACAGTAACACGAGGGGAAAATGGGGAGGAATGGCTCACAGGAACCCAGCAGCTTGGAGGTGAATCTTTTCTTTTCAAATGTGGAGAGTAATGGTTTTTCTGAATTTGCACAGGAAAACCAATGGCTTGGATGTAAGGGCATGTTCTTACGGCCCCTTATCAGGGACACCTCATATCAGCTTCGCATTTTTGCCTGGTAAAACTCGCGAAGGTTTTTGGGTTTAGGGAAATTTCAGTGTTGTGATGCGAGCCTGGTAAGAGGTTGGCCTGATAAGAGGCCGTAGGAACATGCCCTAATTGTTTCGAGCACACTTATGACTATGAGATGCCACACAATGTGGGGAAGAAACAGCTTACCGGGATTGAGTTTGCGCAGAAAACCAAGTGGCTTGGCAGTGATTTTCCGAAACACGTGACCAATGGCTCGCTTGACCTTGGCTGCTCGCACTGACACATGATGGGGGTCCCAGGCTGGTGGGGGGTTGGGAGAAATGGGGAGGGGGAAGAAAAGGAGAACATAGAAGGTAAGGGGGGGTAGGCACGTGGTTGATGGCTCGCTTGACCTTGGCTGCTTGCACTGACTCATGGTGGGGGTCCCAGGCTGGTGGGGGGTTGGCAGGAGGTGGGAGCGGGAACGGAAGTAGATAATGGGAATAACACAATGCCGGGGTTCAACCCTCGGGGGCAATGGCTCGCTTGACTTTGGCAGCTCGCACTGACACATGGTGGGGGTCCCAGGCTGGAAGGGGTTGTGAGCAATGGGAAGGAAGAAAAAAAAAAAAAAAAAAAATGGGGGAATCACCCAAGGGTGGGCTGGTGCACATGTGGGCTATGCTGCACTTGCCATTGGCTTGCCATTGCCTGGTGGGGGTCCCAGGCTGTGGAGGGTTGGGAGGGATGGGGGGGATGGCGAGGAAGCTGATAGGAGGAGTTGAAGAAAGGGGAGATGTTGGAAATCAGAGAGTGAAAGTTTTGCGTGCGGCACAGCACATGGCCGGTGGCATGCTTGCCCTTGGGTGGCTGCACTGATGTATGGTGGGGGAGAAAAGAGGGGCAGAGTGATGGGGTAGATGCATGGATGTTGCGGCACCAACGAGGGTTAAAAGGGAGCCTGAAGTGGGTCAAAGGAGGGTCAAAGGGGGACAAAGGAGTGTAAGGAGGAACAAAGGTGGGGCGAAGGGGTGAAAGGAGGGTCAGGGGTTAAGTCGAAAAAGGGTCGTGGGTCAAAGGAGGATGGGGTCAAAGGTGGGTAAAAGGAGGTCAAAGGTGGGTAAAAGGAGGTCAAAGGGGTCAAAGGAGGGTCGGGAGGGTTGGAGGAGGTCAAAGGTGGGTCAAAGGAGGGTTGGATGTGAGGGCGTCAAAATGAGGGTCAGAACAGAAGCTCTGAGCGCTCTCAGCACTTACTGCTCTTTTGGTGGCGGCGGGAGAAGCTGCGGGAGCTGCTGTGGGAGTTGCTGCGTGTGGTGTGGTCTCAGTGCTGTATGCAAGCCACGCCCCCACATCAATCAATCCTATCTGCAAGCCATGCGCCCTCAGCTAGACATGTGCATTGAGTCGAGATTCTCGACTCGACTCGATCGGGGGACTCGACACGGGTCGAGTGTCGAGTCCGCAAAACCACTGGAAAAACTCGACCGAGTCGAGTCGAGTTTTACCCGTCGAGTTTTTAAAAAACTCGGTGAAAGCTCGGCCCCACATTGAGTTTTCTGGAGACTCGACGAGCTTTCGGGGCTCGAGCGAGTTAACGAAAAACTCGGTCGCGACATTGGCAGCAAGGACAAATTGTAAAATGTGCACTTTGGCGGGGTTCTTTTTAGATCGCGATTTCAGTTAGTCCTCTTCCTAAGCCTATCATAGGTGGAAACCTGAGCCTAGACAGCCGAACTCATGGCTGGTTTTCCATCTTAAACTTAAGTCAGGTTTACGGAATCCTAGATCTACGTTTATAGTTAGTTATTGTCGCGTTTTTTACATGTGCAGTTTTCCGATTAGGGTTTCCTGAGGCGGAATAGCACCTATTTAACGGTAGATCTGGTTTATTTTTTATGGCGAAATTTAAGCAAGGGGTGAGTAAGAACCCAAACGGCGGGAAAGGCGGAACGGGAGGAACTCACCATGGCAATCATGCGGGAGTGGAGGTGGGGGCAGGCCAAGTTGTGCTTACATGCGGTAAACAACACATATCCTTGTACCAAAATGTATGGTGTTTCCACAGCCCCCCCCCCCCCCCCCCGAGTCGAGTTTTACTCGGCTCGACCGAGTGTAAGAAAAAAGCCCGTCGAGCTTTTCAAAACTCGAGCCCTATTTAGGCGAGTCTCGAGTCCAGCATCATGAGAAAAAAGCTCGGTCGAGTTTCCCCCGACTCGAGCTCGAACTCGGTCGAGCTCGAGCCAGACCGAGTCGAGTAAAACTCGACTCGGTCCGATGCACATGTCTACCCTCAGCACTTACTGCTCTTTTGGTGGCGGCGGGAGCAGCTGCGTGTGCTGTCAATGCTCTCTGCAAGCCATGCCCCCACATTAGTACTCTCTGCAACCCACCTCACCCTCAACACTTACTGCTCTTTTGGTGGCGGCGGGAGCTGCTGCGCGAGTTGCTGCGGAAGCCCATACCCTGTCAGAGCGAGGAAGAGAGGGAGAGAACGAGGAATAAACAGGAAGGGAGTGTAAGGGAGAGGATGTGGGGGGTTGGGAGGAGTTTGAGGCGGTGAAGATGAGGAACGCCGGTTTGGGATAGGGAAGCACTGCAAAGGAAGGAGTGGGGAGTTGGGAAAAGAGAACGGCCGGACAAGGAAAGATTGCATGCACCGCACCAACCCCTTCCCACCACAAACCCACTGCATCCAACCGCACTGCAACACACCAAACCTCATCCACTCACCCTCGGTGTTCTTTAGGGTTCGTGGCGTCTGCAGCCCCTTGCCATGCCGCTCCTGCCTCATGACGGGACGGGTACCAAATGCAACTGACTCACGCCATCACCAACCCCTACCACTCACCCTCGGCGTTCTCGGGGTTCTTGGCCCCTTGCCATGCCGCCCCTGCTGCCCCTGCTGCTGCTGCTGCTGCCTCTCCATCTCCTCCCTAGCCATTGTCTCCGCCAAATGCAAGTGCGCCTCAAAAATCGCCGGGGAAACCTGGCACACGCTAGCCGCCGCCACGCTATAATCCGCGAACCCGCCCCCTGCAGTGTTATTGAACCGCTCTACATCCCCCATACTGCCGAAACTCCAGGGAACGCTGAACTCCTCCGTCTGCCCGCCCCCTCCGCCCTCCGTATCCCCGCCAACGCTCATTCCTGAAAAGCTTGGCGCGCCCCACCCGCTCTTATCCGACTCAGACTTAATCGCCCCGGAATGCGTTTCCGTCGCCGTGAAACCGCCCCCGCCCCCGCCCCCGCCACCGCCGTCGCCGCCGCCGTTCCCGCCGTCAGCACCCTCGTTTTCCGCATCGTCAACGTTCATCTGCTTAACCAGCGCGTTTAGCACCCGCCATTTCTTAACGGAAGACATGCGCGATATGCTCCTCCTACCCCCCCCCGCGCCTGCCCCCGCTGCTGCGCCCGCTGCCGCGGAAGCCAGTCCCGCCAGCCCCCTCCCCGACCCCTGTCTCTGTGGCCCATCCAGCCCCCTCCCGGAGCCCTGTCTCTGCGGCCCATCAAGCCTTCCGGAGCCCTGCTTGCGGAACAACCCGCTGTTGCGCCGCCGTGGGGACTGCGCCGCCCTCGGCGGAATGCACGACCCCTGCGCCGCCTTCCGCGCGGCCCTCTCCGCCGCGGCCTCCGCCGCCGATTGCGGCGTGGAAGGCGGCATGGACCCGTCTCGTTCAAAGGTAGGAGTCCAAGGAACGTCGGTTGTTGGGGTTGAGGCGACGTCAGTAGCAGCAGTGGAAGGACGAGGCGTAACTTCTCGCGAAGTTTCCTCTCGAGCAGTGGAAGGTCGAGGCGTTATCTCGCGCGAAGCTTCCTCTCGGGGGGTCACCTGGAGAGCATTCCCCTCTTCCTCCACCTCCTCTAAACCTTCGAGCACCGTGACTGGTTTCCGTTTCACGCTCGACGAGCCTAGACTTTCGGTACTGTCACACTCGCTGTTGCCGGTTCTGACCCGCTCGTTTGCGTTACAAGACGCCTCGCGGAGCCCGGAAAGCTCGCGATTGTGTACCTGAGCGGACGCGATAAGATTCTTCCAGATCACGTCTTCGGGCCTCGCGACGTCGCCTGTGTCACCTGCGAGGTCTGCGAAACGCCTCAGGGTTGGAAATTCAACCGATGACGACGACATTTTCAGCGAGCTTTGTCGCTCAGTTACCCTAGCGCTTAACACGTAACTCTTCCCTTTGTCCACGTCAGCCATCGAAACCGACCGCCTATACGCGCCGGGGGGTGGGCGGAGCGGTTTAAACTCACCAGCGGCGTTTCCTGGGGGAGGCTGCGCCTGGGGGAAGGCGAACGCGGGGGGCGCGGAGGGCTTTTCGCAATAGAGGGCGGAGGCGGGGGCGGAGGGGGGAATGGCGGGATGCGGGGAGTCATCCGCGGGGAGTCCGGGGGAAGACTTGTTGCTAGACGCGTTCATACTGCTGCCTGCTACCCAGTCTATTGCTCCGACTCCTCCGCTACTCACGCTGCTCGCCCGGCTGCCATGGTTAGGCCTCTCGTGCGTGAGATTCCCGGAAACTTCCTTCTTTTGACACGTCGATTGACATGCTATGCTCTCTTCTTTCTCCCTGGCCGTTCCATTCGCTTCGGTTTCCCCACCAGCAGCGTAGTTTTTGTCGCCATCTGCTGCGGCGGAAGATGCACGGGATTGTTTCGCGGCCTGTGCTCGAATCCAATCTTCGTCGACCTGATCCATGAGCGACTCGCCGTGCGCGTGACGTGGCGAAACCGGCCAAGAATCGCCACCCTGCTTCTGCTTCTCCCTGGGCGACGCTTGTGAGTGCGACTGCGACGGCGCGTGCGACGGCGCGTGCGACAGCGACGGCGATTGGAGCGACACGCGGCTGCCATCCGACGGTTCGCTGTTACAGCTGGACGTGCTGAAGGCGACAGGAGGGAGACCCGGGAGAAGCGGAGCGGGGTGCGATATGCCACCGACGATTGGCGTCTGCGACGCGACGGCGCTCGCAAGGCAGTCGTCGAGAAATCGCTGGAGCTGCATTGCTCGCACCTTGTCGCACAGTTGCCGGTCCTCGTTCATCTGCTCCGCGTCGTTAGGATCTGGTCGGAGCAGGAGAAGCGGGCGCTCCGATTGCGGTTCTTCGGAGTTCGGAGCGGTCTTGACGGAGCTCGCCGCGGTTGACTGCGTTTCGAGGAACGCCGGAGGGAAACCGCCGGAGTTGCGGGAGCGAGGAGAGAACGCGAGTTCCGACATGAGCGGAGGCGGGACGCTTCGTTGCGGTATTCTGGGAGAAAATACCGATCCGGACGTTAGCGCGGGGGTGGGAGGCGGAGCGTAAGGAGGTAAGAAAGAGTTCAGCGGCGGAGGGTCGTCGCCCCATTGCTCGTCCGCTACCGCCGCGGCGACCTTTCTGATTTGAGACACCGCAATCGCCATAGGACTTGAGTCTGTCAGGACCTGCTGTTCGAACTAACGTTGTTCAGTCTGTGAGCTACAGTCGAAGTTGGCAGACACTAAGGACTGAACCTGGGACTAACATGCTGCTGGATAGATACACTTGCTTTGCGAAAACCCGGCGTGCGTGCAAGGCAAGGGTCAGCGGTGCAGGTTGAATGGTAGCGCAAGAACCTCCTAACAACAAAGAAACGTCGTGCAGGGTTCCCTTCTGTTCTGTCTGCTCCGTGGGGGAAGCATCTGAGGTGGACCAGTGAGGCTGTGACTAGCCAACCGTTCTGATCTTTGCTGTGTGTGCCTCACGGAATGCTCAGAGATTTGTTGGAGAGAAGTCCCACCGCCACTATCTTGATCCATCCCACTGACGGTCAGGCAGCCATGGCCATGCCAGCCAGCCAAAACCGAGGCAGCCTTGGGTTTGGTACTTGCTGGGCGGAGCGGAAGATTGACGCGGAAGGACCCCAGGATGCGCGGAACGGAACACGCGGGGAGGGAAAGCTCAGGCAGTGGCGGAACGGCGGGAAAGTTTGGGCTGGGCTGTCTCCATCTACGAGAGAGCACCTAAACCCTGTACTGCGTTTTGATTGGCTGACGGGGAGGCCATTCTGGATGAACATGGCCCAATTCGGTTTGGCGAGAAGTGTCGCCTTTACAATGAAGATGCTTTGCGACAGAGCCCTAGCACGTCGCACACCATCGGTAATTGTCGTTGACGGTAGCCGCTCTACCGGAAAGCGACAGAAGTGGCTGGACCAGCCGCCGACGCCTACAACAACGATGCTTGCCACCGCTTTTCGCATCAACCCCAAAAGTTTACGGAAATTATTGAGCTTTTGAGCGATGTTCCTTTTTGTACGGCGATTGGCCTAGGAGTTCTCCCCAGGGCGAGGTTCGGCTGCTACAGAGGATCGACCGAGGGATGGGGGGAGGGATCAGATTTGCAGCTAGGGTTTCTAGTTCGGGGTGGTCAGCTCGGAGTCAACCGTCGTTGACTCCAAGTCTGGAGTCCAGGCGGAAGCGGAAAGTTTGGGGGGAAAGGCGCGGACTAGCGACTCGGGAAATGGGGGCCCACGAAACTGCAGCCGCGCGAAACGAAACTTCGCGAGCTGAACAGTTTTCCCGAATTTACTGTTGCGTTTTTTTGGGTAGCTTGCTCTACTTCAATTCAGTACACCATAAATTAATTGAAGGGTGTAAAGGACGATTCGACCTTATTTAATTTTAGTGAAATCATTTCGAATCTGTGTAATTAGCATTATAATTTCAATGTCCAGGTTATTTGTTTTTTAGAGTGTGGAGAAAATGTATAAACGAAAATTGTGAAAGGGGGCATGGATTTTTCATTCCCCGTGGGCTGAGACCACCCACGGGGATACACTTTCCATGCCCTGAACACTAGGGCGGAGTTTTTCCGCCATGGGGGGGAATTGGGGGGAGGACGCGACGCGGGTTCAAGCCTATCGCGGGGGCCGCGTCGCGTTTTAGGCTCACGTCCGACACTTTTTTCACAATTTTTATGTCTGACCGAAGTGTTCTGCCTGGTTCGAGCAGATCGAACCAGGAGGCTCGGCGTTCTGATGCTCCATCCCATCCCCTCCCCCATCCCCTGTGGCAGCCGAACCCGCCCTGACTAACCGAGAGGGACTGTCCAGCTCAGCAATAGCTGGTCTGCACATACACATGATTCTCGTTTGACTAACCCAAGGTTGCCTTGTGAAGGGGTCTTGTAATAGATTTCAAAAATTTCGCCAGTTCGCAGCTAGCAAAAAAGGATTCGTCAGGTGCTTATAAGGGCTCATAAGAAATTTTGTAACAGTTTGACTTCGGTCTCTTCAGTCAAACTTCAGTTTCTGTGGTTCGTATTGGTTAATATCACTGCAACTTGCTAAAGTTCTTGTAACGTAGGTGCAACTTTACGGCAAAAAAAACCACGGGTGCAAGGTTTCCGTCCGGTACAAGGCAAATTCGCGTGCAGGGGGTGAGCATCAGGTGTATTCCAAGCGAGGTGTGGCAGGTTTGTGACGCGATCGTATGATTCCACTAGTCGCTTCCGTGGCTGGACAGAAGGCAGATGGTGAGTGTATGACTCACTGTAAGAATGTTAGCTACCTACCTAAGCAACACATTTGGAACATTTGAGATAAATGTCACCTACAATGTATTTCAACACTTGCAATAAACCTCGACTTCCGAATTTCAGCTGCAAACCAAACATCCATGGCTTCCGCATAAGCATCAACTCTTCGCACCGCCAACCAACTCTGCATGAGAAGTCGACACGACTGCCAATTGTGACGCGAAGTCCGCCCCATTAGCAGCACAGGCTCGCTGCACCACCTCAAACATCAAAGGTGTAGGCTCAATTCCCCGAGAGCGCGCTCGTGGGATGAGTGAGAGGGCGGCCTCCCAGTGACTGGCATCAGCCAGAGCGATGGCAGCTTGCTGGTAAGTGGTGGCGTTTGGTGGAGTGGCAGATGATACCTCCATCTGTAGAAGGAAGATTGAAGAAAACAAAAAAACATGGAAAAGGAATAAAGCTGAACATCATCAGCGCAAGTAGTGTTGGCATGGATCACCTCCTTTTTTATACAAGTTCTGTGAATCCAAGTGCAAACAAAAAATGGTACGTGGGAAAGTGATAAGGATGGTGAGACAAATTTAGTGATGAGGAGACGCAAGAACAACACTTCACTTGCCTTTTGCAGCCAGTCAAGCGCCCTCAGCCCTTCTCCAGCATGAGCACAAGCCGTCACCATCGCATTGAATGCCGCAACGTCAGCACCCAGACGATGCTCCCTGTAAGCAGCGGCTCGTGCTGGTGTTCCAGCCTGCCTGCTGTGCACCCGAACAGCAACCAGCTCCTCCCCTGCCTCCCCCGGCCGGGACAGAGCAGCCTCTCTACTGCCGCTCCCACTGCTGCTGCTGTCCCCGCTGCTGTCACTGCTGCTGCTGCTGCTGCTGCTAGCCGTCCCTTGAAGCTCCTCAAACAGGGCTGCGGCTCGTCCGTACTCCCCTCTCTTCCCCAGAGCAACAATCATAGTCGTGTACGCCTGTTTGTTTGGCTCCACACCCATCTTCCTCATATGCCCCCACACCGCCTCTGCTGGCTCCAACAAATCCCCTTTCTCCAGCGCACTTAGTAAAGCGCCATATGCCACTGCATCTGCCCGGACCCCCGTCTCCACCATATCCTCAAAAACCTTGATAGCGGAAGCGGTTTCATTAGCTTTTGCACATGTTACAAGAACCGTGCGCCATGCAAAGGCGTCTGGTGGGAGCCCTGCAGATTCCATCTTGGAGAGAAGCGAGAGTGCCCACCTCCATAGCCCTCTCTTCCGGGCAGCTGTCAACAAAATGTTAAAGTGCCCACGAATGAGCCTCTCCGTGGCAGCGGTCGGCGCAGGCCCCTGTGTTTTCATCGACTCAAAAACTTCCAGTGCTGCCCACCATTTCTTCGCCCTGCCAAGCGCGCCAATCACCTGGTGACACGTGTCCAGGCCAGGGACGAACCCATGGCTGCGCATGGCAGCAAAAAGAGTGCGAATTTCCCGCTGCCTGCAAGTTCCTTGCCCATGCCCATGCCCGTGCCCGTGCCCATGCCCGTGCCCGTGCCCGTGCCCATGCCCATGCCCATGCCCATGCCCATGCCCATGCCCATGCCCATGCCCATGCGCATGCCCATGCCCATGCTTACGGTGACCCACGCCTGAGCCCTTAAAACTGCCCACGGGCTTAGAGCGGCCCACGAGGTCGTCAAGGCAGCATGCGTGCAGGGCCAAGCGGTACGTCTCCGCATCAGCTTTTATCCCCACCCTTTCCATCTGATCCAGCAGCCACAGTACCCTAGACGCACCTGCCCTACCATGTCTCATCATCCCCTCCCCTGGCCCCAAACTCCCTGCTCTTTGACCTTGCCCCCGCTCCTGCTCCTCCCCCTCCTCCCCCTCCTCCCCCTCCAGCTCCTCCTGCTCCTCCAGTTCCTCCTCATCCATCCCTACAGAAGACTCGCGCCTGGAGGTCTCAGCTGCTGCTGCTTTAGCACCAACCGCTGCTGCTTTAGCACCAACCGCTGCTGCTCCTATCACTGTCACCGCAGCATCAGCAGCAGCTATCTGACTACGCGCTGCCCCTCCCTCTCTCTCCCCTACACTCGACGCTGCCCCTGCAACTGTGGCTACGGCTACCCCCTTCGTTCCAGTGGCAGCCCTACCTGCGCCTCCCTGTGATGTATCCTGCGCCAATGCAGCTGCCTTACCGGTCCTTGTCTGTTCGGCCTTCCCTGCCTGCACGTGAACGTCAGGCTGCCAGTTACCGTCTGCTTGACGGTTTCCGTCCACCTGTCGCTCCAGCGCGGCGACTATCTGCTTCATTTCCTCGTTACAAGCGAACCTCAGCGCTGCTGCCACCTCCCGATGCTGCTGCTGCTGCCGGGTGCTCCCACCCCGCTCACCTTCTCTGGCTACAGTTCCGCTGCTCCCCTCGCCCCTGCTGCTGGTGCTGCTGCTGCTGCTGCTGCCGCCGCCGCCGCTGGTGCCAGTACTGCTGCCACTAGCAGAGCCCGCTGATTCCAGAGCCAGAGAGTACAGCGCCAGTGCGCGTTCCACCACCCGCCCTCTGCGGCACACAGGCAGCACGGTGCGCACAGTAAACAGGTCCGGCCGCACAGACCATTTCTCCAGGGAATCCGCTGCCTTGGTGGGCGCGGACGCGGCTACTAGATGCTGCGGGACCGTAGCGGCATCATCTAACGTGCTATGCGGATTCGGCTCATGCTTCTTGCTCTCTGAAGGCTTGCTCTCGCCTGGCCTGTTTTGAGCATCTGCGGGTCGCCGTGGCTTGTGAAACGAGTACTGAATTCCGAATTTTGTTAGAAGGTCCCACGCTGCTTCGTCCTTGCCTTGGGTTTCCAAGGCTGACAGGAGAGTGTTCAAAGTGACGGCATCTGGCGCCACGCCATTGGCTGACATCCATTCCACTACTTCCTCCATCCGTGCCCATTCCCCACTGGCTTTTAGTGCTCCTAACAAGCTATTGTACGTGTACACATTCGGCTCAGATAGTCCCTTCCATCTCACACCAGTCTCTCCTTTTCTTGCTTCCTCGTTTTCACAAACTGCTTGTTCCTCTGCGGGGCTGTTTGTAGCTGTTTGTTCAAAGTCAGGCGTACCGGTCTTTGTAGTGCCGCTTCTGACAGTCTCGGAACCAGAAACTCGCTGCAGCCAGTGGAAAAGCGCCAGCGCAGCACCAACACGGCGTTCAATCCCGAGTTTCTGCAGCACGGAAGATACCACCCGTGCGTTCACCTCCTCGCCTTCCTCCTCCGCGACAGCCATAACCGCATCCACCGCTGCCACGTCATCCACGCCACGCAGAGCCCACGTCAGCGCGCGGACGAGAGCGGTAGAATGCCTGTCCGTTGCGCGCCGCCGTGCCCTTTCCAGTGCTATCCGCTCGCGAATCTCCTCGTGCGATCGAGGTCCCCGCGGATTGCTCACCACGCTTCGTGCTGCCAGCCTTCCGCCATGGAATTCGAACCTCTCGTGATGGACATGGACAGAGGCGGTGATAATTCCTTCTGTTTCGTGAGCTGGCACGGCGAAACCCCCGGCGAGTGAATTTGAATCTTTATCGGCGTCAATAACTGACGAATTCCGGCGGGATTCGCCATAATTTGAAGATGCGTTATCGGAGTTCACGTCCGCAGGAACCGCAACGTGACATCTCACACGCGATGTCCTCGCCTGAAGAAAACATGTATCCTTTAAAATCCTTCCAGACCTTCCGCTTTTCAGTCCGTGGCGATGCGGCAGTGATATCTGATACTTCTTGGACGTTCCGCGCGTATGGAACTCTTGAGTCGAGCGTACTAGAGCATTGAGATTGGACCCAGAAATAAGGCCAGGAAGTTGCGAAGCTAGAGGTCGAGGATGAGAAACACGAACCAGCTCCTTTAAGGTACTACAAGTCGCCATAAGCAACAGCAGCCCGCAACGAGTAAGAGGAGCAGTGACCAACAGCAACGCAACGTGGAAACACCCTAGCAAATAAAATCAGAGACGGGCATCCTTCCGAGACGCCCGGTAGCAGCGCAGAAGACGAGACAGTAAGGAAGTGGGAAGGTGGTGGGATGGATGAAGAAACTAGAAGGTTGACTGAGACTCTGGAAATGAATTGCTGGAGGGGGAGTCAACTGAATGGGGAATGGACTAGTGAGAAATGGGTGAAGAGGATGAGAGGAGCAATTAACTTCCAGTTTCGGTGCAACTCGTTCCAGAGCGGTGATTTCAAAATACCGCTTCATACCGTGTTAGAACTTACTGAAACGCACTGGAAGTGCGTTATGCGAATGCTCGCCACAAAGCAGCAGGCAGTGTCCTGTGCTGTGGTGGCGGCGGAATTCTCTTGGGATGAGTGGAACTCCCGAGGTTGCGCGGGAGCGTTACTGATTGGTGGGAGAGATCGCCTGTACCCCCCTTGGAATTCCGTAGTGTCCAGCGTGTTCGGTTTCCGACCTTCGCATGCGGTTCAGTGGGGTCTCAAAGCTAGTGCTTTCAACCATACCCAATTCAGGCGGAAATGGCGCGGTGCTTTGTCGCCAATTGGGGGTAGCTGACATGGCGAGTGAAGAGCGGCTCAATTTTTTACACCAATCATTAGGGCCTTCAATATAGTCACATGTCGAAATGCATCCCCCTTGCCTAGGACAGTTGTGATTGGGATACGCAGCTCATATCTCTTCGGTTTCATTTGTTTCAATTCGATGAAGCTCGGTGTCACAGGATAGCTCGAAAATTTTTCTCAGTGCAACAAAATCTGCAGCTATTCCACCCTCACGGAATCTGTGCGTGATCAACTGCGGCAGTCTCGAGTCGCTCAATCCTCAGGAGGTACAACAAGTTTCTTAGAAGCCTTTACTCAAATTCGATCTTACCTATGGCTGCGTGCGGTCTCGCACACGCGATTGCTTCGTGCTCGCAGACTTCTGCTGCGAGCAGGCTCGCTGTGCGACAAAATGTACATGGCGAGTCTCGTCGGGCTCCGTCACCATTCCAAATATCCCCGCAGCGCATTATCTATTCTCATCCACGTAAGAACGAATACACGGGTTACAGGAGTTACAGAAATAGCGGCTACATGAGAGTGAGCGTGTCGGCGAGCTCGGAATCCGAGGCGCGCAGCGGCAATGGCGTTGCCACGTCTCCGTCCATCGAACCACGAGGGGAACCCACGGAATTTCCGGCTTTTCTGCCGCCGCAAGTAGCGGAGCTTGAGGAGGAGGAGGCTCGGCAGCTGGCACGGCGCGTCCAGAGGCTGCCAGTACAGGTGAATGGAGGTATTGGCGTAGATGCTCCTAAGGATTGCTTCAGGTGGGGGAAGGTAGCGTAGATTCTTCTAAGGATTGCTGCAGAGGGGAGCTGTAGACAGTGTTGCAGGTGAGAGGAGCTATTGAGGCTCTGAAGATTGCCACAGGTATTGATTTTGATGCAGGTGACGAGACAGATTGCAGGTGTGGGGAGGTGGTTTTTCCATAATTTCCTCCCTCCCTTCCCTTCCTCCCCATCCTCCAACCCAACCTCTCCTCTGGTCCTATTCCTTGTTTCCTCTACTCATACTTTCTTCCTCCTCTCTCCTCCGCCCCCTCCCCTCCCCTGCCACGTCACCCAGACCGACCTGGCTTCGGAACCAATAATGAGCAGCTGCATCGTGCCAAAAAACGCCGGCCAGACAGCCGTCCCCATCCTTCTCTTCCACGGATTTGACAGGTCAGTCAGGTTCTTGAGACCAGATGCTGACGTTTCAATTGATCCAATCAGATCAGTCTCTGACGTGTCAGTAAAGCCAGCCAATGAGGCCAGGTGCGTGTCAGTAAAGTCATTGCGGGTCTATTAGTGTGTGGAGGAGGGAGGATTTTTTAGATTCATCTGTAAGCTACACCCCACTCGTCTCCACCCTCCATCCTCCTCCCCTTCCCTTCCCTTTCCCCTCCCATGCAGCTCATGCCTGGAGTGGCGGCGGGTGTATCAGCGCCTGGAGGAGGGAGGAGCAGAGCCATGGGCGGTGGACACTCTGGGCTGGGGCTTCTCAGACACCAGCAAGGGTGAGGCGAGGGGTTTCAGTGGTGTGCTGATTGGGTGGCTTGCTGGCACTGTCTTCTTGTGGGAATAGGGAGCGGAGCCTTGGGCGGTCGACACTCTGGGCTGGGGCTTCTGAGACACCACCAAGGGTGAGTCCATGTTACCTTTTTGTATGTGTGTGTGTGCGTGTGTGTGTGTGTGTGTGTGTGCGCGCGTGTGTGTGTGTGTGTGCGTGTGTGTGTGTGTGTGTGTGTGCGTGTTCTATTGTCAAAGCAGCTGTGCCTCATCATCCCTCTCTTCTTACTGTTACTCTCTTTCTCTCCAAAGGCAGTTGTTCATTACAATTCCTCTGTTTCTCTCCACCATCCCACCATGCCACCACCACGTGTGCATGCAGATCGGGGAATCCAGTCCTTACTACTGCATGTGCTTACTGTCTGTCTCTCCACCATCCCACCATGCCACCACCACGTGTGCATGCAGATCGGGGAATCCAGTCCTTACTACTGCATGTGCTTACTGTCTGTCTCTCCACCATCCCACCATGCCACCACCACGTGTGCATGCAGATCGGGGAATCCAGTCCTTACTACTGCATGTGCTTACTGTCTGTCTCTCCACCATCCCACCATGCCACCACCACGTGTGCATGCAGATCGGGGAATCCAGTCCTTACTACTGCATGTGCTTACTGTCTGTCTCTCCACCATCCCACCATGCCACCACCACGTGTGCATGCAGATCGGGGAATCCAGTCATTCTCCGTGGATGCCAAGAGGGAGCACTTGTACCAGGTATGTACTGCGAGGTACTGCCTGCACCAGGTATTGCCTGCACCAGGTATGTACTGCACCAGGTATGTACTGCACCAGGTATTGCCTGCACCACGTACTGCCTGCACCAGGTACTGCATGCACCAGGTATTGCCTGCACCAGGTATTGCCTGCAACAGGTACTGTCTGCACCAGGTACTGTCTGCACCAGGTATTGCCTGCACCAGGTACTGCCTGCACCAGGTATTGCCTGCACCAGGTGCTTCCTGCACCAGGCACTGCCTGCAGTTCTCTCAGCTTCTTCGTCCCTTCCCTTTGCTTGCATTTCTTTGGGGCCGCCAGGTTTTGCTGTTTTTGGGTTTAGGGCCTTTCAATCAAATCAATGCTGCTATATTTGTTTCTCTCTTCCTTATTCGTGCAGTTCTGGCGGCAGCACCTAGGGGGCCGTCTGGCTCTGCTGATTATCCATCAATGCAAGACCGTTGCTGTCCTCTCAGCTTCTCCCTCTCTTCCCGCCCCTTCCCTGTCCCTTGCAGTTCTGGCGGCAACACCTAGGGGGCCGTCCGGCTCTGCTGGTTGGTCCTAGCCTCGGGGGTGCTGCTGCCATTGACCTGGCTGTGAACCATCCCGACGTGGTACGGTTTATAGTATTATTGCTGTTTCCTATATTGCTTCTGTTTCTTTTGTTACGCGTTTTTGGTGCTGTGGCCAACGACCTGGCTGTGAACCATCCGGATGTGGTATGCTTAAATATTATTATTGTAGTCTCCTGCATTAGTAACGTTCCTTTTTTCGATCATGTTGGTGCTCCCTGCTGGACGCACAGTTTCAGGAGCGCGTCAGCCCCCTCTCTGCTGCACAGTCACACCACTCTTCTCTCTGCTTTCCTGCTCTATCTATCCTTCCCTCCCTGCAACCACCACTCCAGCCAGCAGGCCTCCTCCTGTTGGACGCACAGGCGTTTCAGGAGGGCGTGGGACCTCTCGCCGCGCTGCCCAAGTTCCTGGCATATGCTGGGGTGAGTTGGATTTAGTCCAGTTGGGGTTGCTGAGACGAGACTGGCTCTCCTAGGCTCGCCTGCCGTGCCTGGTTGATCTGTGCCTGGTTGATCTGTGCCTGGTTGATCTGTGCCTGGTTGATCTGTGCCTGGTTGATCTGTGCCTGGTTGATCTGTGCCTGGTTGATCTGTGCCTGGTTGACCTGTGCCTGGTTGATCTGTGCCTGGTTGATCTGTGCCTGGTTGATCTGTGCCTGGTTGATCTGTGCCTGGTTGACCTGTGCCTGGTTGATCTGTGCCTGGTTGATCTGTGCCTGGTTGATCTGTGCCTGGTTGATCTGTGCCTGGTTGATCTGTGCCTGGTTGATCTGTGCCTGGTTGATCTGTGCCTGGTTGATCTGTGCCTGGTTGACCTGTGCCTGGTTGATCTGTGCCTGGTTGATCTGTGCCTGGTTGATCTGTGCCTGGTTGATCTGTGCCTGGTTGACCTGTGCCTGGTTGATCTGTGCCTGGTTGATCTGTGCCTGGTTGATCTGTGCCTGGTTGACCTGTGCCTGGTTGATCTGTGCCTGGTTGATCTGTGCCTGGCTGATCTGTGCCTGGTTGATCTGTGCCTGGTTGATCTGTGCCTGGTTGATCTGTGCCTGGTTGATCTGTGCCTGGTTGATCTGTGCCTGGTTGACCTGTGCCTGGTTGATCTGTGCCTGGTTGATCTGTGCCTGGTTGATCTGTGCCTGGTTGATCTGTGCCTGGTTGACCTGTGCCTGGTTGATCTGTGCCTGGTTGATCTGTGCCTGGTTGATCTGTGCCTGGTTGATCTGTGCCTGGTTGATCTGTGCCTGGTTGATCTGTGCCTGGTTGATCTGTGCCTGGTTGACCTGTGCCTGGTTGATCTGTGCCTGGTTGACCTGTGCCTGGGCCTCTCGCGGCCCTGAGAAGGTTCCTGCAGAACTTGCCTGCGTATGCTAGGGTTCCTGGGAGTGCTCGCAGGTATGCTTGCTGAGGCTTTGCTCAGGAGTGCTTAGCCCGGTGGATGGAGCACCAACTGGGTGGGTGTGACATGAGAGCTCACTGCGTGTCTTTGTTTCTATGTCTGTGCTCTTCTTGTGTTTGTGTGTGTGTCTGTGTGTGTTTCTATGTGTGTCTGTGATGGCTATTGGGAATGCTCGCAGGTAGCTCTGCTGAAGAGTGTGCAGCTGCGTATGTCAGCCATTAAGATGGCATTCCATGACAAGACACAGTCAACCGAGGACGCAATGAATGTACGTTCACCAGTGGCGTTTTAGCCATGCGTTGCACTCCTGATCCGAGTGGGCATGAGAGAGCTAGAGAGTCTGCACCTGCGCTTGTCAGGCTTTAAGATGGCATGCCACGACAAGATACAGTTGACCAAAGACACGATGAGGGTATATGTGTGAGCGAGAGACTGTGTGCAGACTTCCTTCTCCTCTCCTCTCTCCTCTCTCCTCTCTCTCCGCTCGCTCCTCTCTCTTCCCTCTCTTACTGCAGTTCAGTCATCTCCACTGCCTGATGACTGACTGATTCGGCCGATGCATTGGTAGCTGCTAAGAATCCCACTTAGGATAAAAAGCGTGTGGCGAAGCATGTCAGCTGCTAAGAATCCCACTTAGGATAAAAAGCGTGTGGCGGAGCATGTCAGCTGCTAAGAATCCCACTTAGGATAAAAAGCGTGTGGCGGAGCATGTCAGCTGCTAAGAATCCCACTTTCTCCTCTCATTTATCACAGGTCGGCCGGCTGCACTGCTTGATGCCTGACTGGGCCGACGCCATGGTTAATTTCATGTGCTCGGGTGGTTACCACGTGTCCAAGAGAGTGGGCGAGGTGAGCGAGAGCAGATGATGCTTTGGGCTGGGTTGATAAAGTTGCATGGCTGGTTAATTTTATGTGCTCGGGCGGTTACCACGTGTCCAAGAGAGTGGGCGAAGTGAGAGCAGTTGATGCTTTCGGTTCCGTCAATATAGGGGCATAGCCAATCCGAAGGATGTGTGCTGGTGGCATTTGCTCATGCAGTTACCACGTGTTCAAGATATTGGTCTAGGTTAGGTGTAAATTACTTTGATATGTTTTCTAATAAGGTGATGTTTTTATGCATTTTCTCTCTTGTTTGCCTCTAACTTCTTAATTTTCTTTGTTTCTTTGTTGCATCCGGCGGGTATGGGCATGGGCATGTGGATGTGTGCGTGTGAACGTCCATGTGCAGGTGTCCCAGCCATGCCTAGTGGTATGGGGGAGCGAGGATGAAATTCTTGAACCTAACCTGGCAGAGGTATGTGTACACTCACCCACACACACCGCACCCGCACACACCACACAGCCATGCACACACTCACTCACCCACACACCACACATCACCGGTGCATGTACCCACCCATTCACACACACACGCACGCACCCACACATGCACCCACACTCACATGAGGTTATTACTTGAAGCTAACCTGCCGAGAAGCGCCGACCGTGCACGCATTCGCTCTCCCATGCACATGCTCCCTCCTCTGTCCTCTTTCGCTGCTTCCCCCTTGCAGCGGTTGGAAACGGAGCTGCCAGACTGCAGGATTGCGGGCACATTCCCCATGCGAATACGGCATACCACAAATCAGATGCGGCATGAAGACCCATCCTCCCCTTCCATCATCTGTCTGTTTCTGCTGCTTCCCGATTGCAGCGCTTCAAGTCGGAACTTCCCGACAGCAGGGGCGTGGTGCAGCTGGAGGGGTGCGGTCACATCCCACACGTGGAGAAACACAACACCACAACCTCCCTCCCAGCAACTCGTGTTCTTTGCCCTTTCCCCCCTTCCAGCGCTTCAAGGCGGAACTTCCAGACTGCAGGGGGGTGGTGCAGCTGGAGGGGTGTGGGCACATCCCGCATGTGGAGAGGCCTGCTGACGTGGCACAGCTTATTCTGGAGTTCTGCTCACAGCTACAGGCTGAGAGGGAGCAAGATGGCGCAGAGAAAGAAAAGGTGGCAGTGGCATAGGCTCTTTTTCCATCTATCCGTTATGGTAACAAGGATTGTCGTTGGAGCGCCAGTGTATCTGCCCCATACAGAAAAAATATTGTCTACTACAAGTGCGGGATCACTGTAACACAGGTCGTAGTCTGTGTTCTTTGATGTAGCTATAATGTATCGTACTATTCTGTTGATTGACGCAATCATTCCCAACAAACTGTACATGGTGTGTTACTGCTTCCCATTGGGTTGCGCTTTGCTTGCACTGAAACCATGCGTGGCATTGTTATGGTGTTCTGATTACCATATCATGAAGTTCATACAGGAAACAGAACAGTGTACTAATCGGCACGTTGCATGCTCTTTAGCATTGAAAGTGCCATGCTGGGTTTGCATTTCGAGAACATATAAAGTGATGGGAATATGTTGTATATTATCTGGTAACAACCTACATGCATTGAAAGCTTTGGTATTTATGTAAGCTAAACCCAATTGCATTTTTTTGCTGTTATGGCAGGAACTTGGTTATTGCTGTACTGACATTCTGTAGATAGGGTGATTAAGCCTGTGGCATTATTCGAACCGTTTTTTGCAGATTTTCACTTGACAGCTCAGAACTGTTTTTGACTCGATTCAAAGAACGGCATCTCTCATCCCGAGATAAGGAATATTCGTAACGAGAACACGCAAGCAGGAAAGTGAACAAACTGAACATCCAAAATTTCCAGCACAGATGAATTCGTGCCACGAATTTCCTGCCATTGGTGGCTCTAGCGGAGATATCAAGGGTGACACGCAAGAAACACGGCTGAAAGCTCCTCAGGCTGCCTCACCAGCTCCCTGCCCAATCCAGCATCGGGATTCGATTTCCCGCCACTTTTTTCGCCTCACACATCCCTGCCTTTTTGGGTTGGCTGGCTTGATTGACTGCTTCTAACTGCGGGCTGCTCTTTCGCAAGCTTCAACTTCCGCCATTCGTTTTCATAGTTCTTTGAAGCCTTTGAATGGTTCTCTTCAGTGGTGATGGTATTAAAGCAACCTGGCGATTTTGTACGGTTAGCAGGCTAGAATTTCTGATCAGCGTTTCGAAGGGATTTACTCTTCTGATTGTTGTGATCGCGATGGTTGCGGAGCGATTACTCAAGGCCATACCTTGGGGAGCGAACCCGGATTTGCAAGTGGAAGAGAGACTGGTGCCTTCAGGCTTCGAGGCAGAAATGACAAATGGTGAAGCGGAACGAATGGATGCGGGATGCGACGATTTCTGCAAGCAGTGGTCGCGAAGCAAGCGACGAATAGCGTTGTTCGTGGAACCTTCGCCATTCGCGTAAGGGCTGCGTCACCATCTATCAAGTCAAGTGTTACAATTTCGTATTTTTTTCGGCTCCGCGGCATAGCGAGCTCTGTCTTATTACACTCACGGCTCCCACTTCTCTGATGGTGCAGATACGTATGTGGTTACAAGACGCGGTTCCAGAATTTCATTCGCCACTTACGGGATATGGGCGACGAGGTAAGTTCAAGCGAGAGTTAGTGTTTGCTAGAAAATCTAATACTTTACTCTCTTTCCCCTCCGTCCCCTTTGCGCCACCCAACCTTTAAGCCCGCCTGTTACCCTCCGCTCGTGCTTCCGCCGTCATGCTAATGGTGTATCAGTGGCGCTGCGCAGGTGCTTGTGGTGACCACTCACAAGGGAGCTCCCAAGGAGTTCTTTGGAGCAAAAGTAATACCTTCTCTAAGGTATCATCATCGCCATCTGCGCTGCTGGATCGTATCACCAAACTTGATACCGAAATCTGAAGTTGTGTGTGTGTTTGCGTGCTTACGTGCGTGCTTACGTGCGTGTGCGTGCGTGCGTGCGTGCGTGCGTGTGTGTGTGTGTGTGTGTGTGTGTGTGTGTGTGTGTGTGTGTGTGTGTGTGTGTGTGTGTTTTCCTTTCATTCCTGTGTTGTTTCCAGTTTCCCCTGCCCGTGGTACATGAATGTCCCCCTCGCGCTGGGATTCAGCCCACGGATCGTTTCGGAAGTGGCTAAATTCAAGCCTGACATCATCCACTCTACCTCTCCAGGAATCATGGTGCGTTTTTGAGCCTGAAAAATGATAATGCTGTCAAAAGTAGATTTGCAGGATTGAAGGTTAAACAACTTAGAAGCCTTGCGTTATCCGCTTCTCCAGGAATCATGGTGAGTTTTCAGCCTAAGAATTGAGAATGGTATCTTCAAATGTCAAAGGCAGGTTTTCAGGATTGAAGGCGTGAAACGAATTACAAGCCTGGCGTTATCCACTCCACCTCTCCAGGAATCATGGTGGGTTTTTTGCACAAACAAAGAGAGTTCTTGTTTTGAAAGTCAGAAGTGGGTTGCACGATTGCAGGTGAAGAAGGTTACAAACGCGTCATCAATCACATCTCCAGGAATCATGGTGGTTTTAGTTATTACAAACAAAGAGAGTGGTGTTTTTGAAAGCCAGAAGAAGGTTTGCAGGATTGCAGGTGAAAAAATCACAAGGCTGACTCAAGCAATGTAGGAAGGGCAAGCAATGTGAATGTACAGTCTGCAAGCGCCGTGCTTGAGTGCATTCCATTGCATTCACACCAGCAGCAACAGCGAAGCTGATTGTGCAGAATTTTAGTGAAAACATCCATTCTTCATACCACTGCATCCCGTTTCCTTTACCGGCAGTGCTTTGGAGCCATGGCAACTGCGAAGATGACACACACGCCCTTCATGCTCTCGTATCACACACACGTCCCAGCGTAATGCCCTCCTCTCGTTCCCCACTTTCTTTGCTTTGGGCTCGTCAACTTCTAGGCTTACACTAACGCCGTTGATGCCCTCATATCATTCACTCACACGTCCAGGCCCAGCCTAAGATTCCCTTTAACTCACGGTCCTCATGTCATGGTATCCGTCTACACACCCACTTCTCGCTTCTCGTGTCAATAGTCAGCAGCAGCAGTGAACCTGTTGGTGGTTGTATTGTATCCCCATGGCTAGCGCCTCAAAACTTGTGGTTTATTGCTGGCTTCTGTGCTGTTCACAGGTACATTCCCAAGTACACTTTTCCAGGACTAGTGGAGCCCATGTGGAAAGTTATTCGTAAGTTGTGCCAATCAGGTTCACTACAATTTGTGCCTTCTTTCGTGTCCTCTTGCGAACAATGCTTCCCTGCTTCTGAGTCCATGTTCAAAACAGAACTTATTTTTCCCCGTTTTAAGTGTCTGCTTGTTTATCTGCCTTTGATTTCCAGTTTTAACTGGTTGTTCCACATCTGTCATATTCCAATCACTGGTTTCAGGCTTCTTGCATCGAGGGGCGGACCATGCAATCACGACATCGCATGAGCTGGCAAAGGAGCTCACAGAGCATAACGCCACAGGAGGTACGCTTTGCTGCCTCTGTCCTTTCTTCTTTTCACTTCTTCTCGTTCTTCTTCTCGGTTTGTAAGGGGCAGATCACGCCATCACAACGTTGCATGAGCTCGTTAAGGAACTAACAGCGCACCACGCCACAGAAGGTGGGTGTTTCTGCCTTTGTCTAGGCCTTGAAAGTCCTATCTGCACTGTCCACTGCCTCAGACAGCTGGACGAGGCCAATGCAGGGTCAGACATTTCAGTCAACCCAACCCACTTTCCGTTTCCCCTTGCTCCTGCCCTCCACCTGCAGGTGGCAGCAGGCAGATGGGCGTGTGGCCCAAGGCAGTGGATTCTCACAAGTTCAACCCGCGGTTTCGAGACCAGGAGACGCGGAAGATGCTCAGGTGCGTGACGGGATGGGTTGGTCTTTTCTGGGGCAGGCAGATGGCGTGTGGCCCAAGGCAGTGGATTCTCACAAGTTCAACCCGCGGTTTCGAGACCAGGAGACACGGAAGATGCTCAGGTGCGTGACGGGGTGGGTTGGACTTTTCTGGGGCAGGCAGATGGGCGTGTGGCCCAAGGTAGACATGGGCAATGTACCGAGTCGAGTAAAACTCGACTCGGTCTGGGCCAAAACTCGACCGGGTTCGAGCTCGAGTCGGGTGAAACCCGGTCGAGTTTTTTTGCCCAGGTACTGGACTCGAGACTCGACTGTATAAGGGCGAGTTTTTAAAAACTCGGCCGGGGCTTTTCATACACTCGGTCGAGTCCTAGTTAAACTCGACTCGGGGGGAGGGGGGGGAGGGGATACATCATATAAAAGCTGGAAGTGAGGCTTCTTTTTGTGCATGGTTTTTTGCAGTAGATCCTACATTATTGCGCGCCATCTACTACTACAGATCTAGGACCCTTTGAAAACAGCACTGCGCATTTGATTCACACAATCTACTCGCATTTCTGCAGCAAAGGCATGGCGGCAACAGCATAACAATAAATTAAATAGTAGCGTTTCCTCCTCCTCAAACCCTAATCGAAACCAACCATACAATAAAACCGTGACCCTATCTAAGCGTGAACCTAGATCTACGTTGCCCCTGAGGCGATCGTAAGTTTAAGAAGAAAAAACAGCCGGCCGTTTGGCTGGTTTGGCTCTGGAAACTACGGATGACATATTGGGGAAGGTGACAGACTGAAATCACGATCTGAAAATGGACCCGCAAGACTTCAAATTTCGAATTTTGTATGCCCACCCCAATGTCGCGACGAGTTTTTCGTAAACTCGTCGAGTCCAGAAAACTCGACGAGTCTGGAAAAAACTCGCCACCGGGCCCGAGCTTAGACTGAGTTTTTAAAAAACTCGGCGGGTAAAACTCGACTCGGCCCGGTCGAGTCTTTTCAACGGTTAATCGCACTCAACACTCGACCAGTAACGAGCCCCCCGATCGAGTCGAGCTTGGAAACTTGACTCTTTGCCCATGTCTTGCCCAAGGCAGTGGATTCTCACAAGTTCAACCCGCGGTTTCGAGACCAGGAGACACGGAAGATGCTCAGGTGCGTGACGGGATGGGTTGGTCTTTTCTGGGGCAGGCAGATGGGCGTGTGGCCCAAGGCAGTGGATTCTCACAAGTTCAACCCGTGGTTTCGAGACAAGGAGATGGGAAGCTGCTCACGTGTGTGTGATAGCTGTGGTGACTCAAGGGTTAGGTGGGTCAGACACGTCTTGAGGCAGGCACAGGGGCGTGTGTTTCAAGGCGATGTATATGCACTCAAGCCCTGGAGACACGCATGAAGCCTGCTTCACAATGTGTACAGTAAGTGTTTTACCTGAGGCCATGAGCTAGAGTAGAGTAGAAGCTAAGAAGTATGGGGCTTTTTGGACTCATGTGAAAAGGTGGAGGTGTGTGTGAGGCGTAACTGTGTCAAGAGTACCTCCTGTCACTGATATTTCCTGTTCCTAAGGTCCTTACTCCAAGATTGCGCCCCTCCTCGCCTCCACCCGCCTGCTTTCCCTCGTCCTTCTCCCTTGTACCCAAATTCTTAATTTGTGCATCTGCATTTCCATCACAGCCTGTTTCTTTATCTTGGGTTAACAGTGGAAGAGAAGAGGCTGGGAAGCCTAGTATTGTGGTTCGAGACGTCCCTCAATCACCTTAACCCACATGCTCTGCTTCTTTTTGTGCTCACATCATGTTCTCTCTCCCTTGACCCAACAGTGGAGGGGAGGTGGACAAGCCTCTTATTGTGCATGTTGGGAGGTTGGGCGCAGAGAAGAACCTTCATCTGCTCAAACCGTGAGTAGCTCTATCAAGCCATGACTAAACTTATCAAAATGTGTTCCAGATAAAAGAGAGAATCGAGTGGATGAATCACAACGCGAGTAGAGTAATCACGACCCAAGCAGCTTGAAAATTACTTTAGAGTTTTTTTCTCAATAAAACCATGGAATTCTTGCCCAATACGAGCTTGCTTCTAGGCACCTCAAAAGCTGAGTCGAAGTCCCTTCCTAACGTAAACACCCTCTCCTCTCCCCATCTCTCCACTTTCCCCCCATGCTATGCTACTCGTCCTCTTTTCCATACGTGCAGCATGCTGGACAGGATTCCAGGGGCACGCCTTGCTTTCATCGGGGATGGACCACACAGGTATGAGAATGTGCTGCACACCTTGCTATCATCTTCTGAGTTACCTTGCTGCCCCCCTTTTCTCTCTCCCTCTCTTCTTCTCTGCTGCTGCTGTGTATTATCCCCAGAGGCGAGCTGGAACTACTGTTTGCTGGAACACCCACGGTCTTCGCCGGCATGAAGCAAGAGGCTTATCTCTCTTCTTCTCTTCTCTCCTCTCTGCTGTTTTGTTTCCACAGAGGCGAGCTGGAAAAACTGTTTGCCGGAACACCCGCGGTCTTTGCTGGCATGAAGCAAGAGGCTTATCTCTCTTCTTCTCCTCTCTCCTCTCTGCTGTTTTGTTTCCACAGAGGCGAGCTGGAAAAACTGTTTGCTGGAACAGCCATGGTCTTCGCTGGATGAAGCAAGAAGCTGATCTCTTCTCCTCCCCTCCTCTCCCCCCTGTATCCCTTTCACAGGGGTGAGCTCGAGAGACTTTTTGCTGGCACGCCCACAGTCTTTGCCGGTATGAAGCAAGGAACCGACCTGTCCCGAGCATTCGCATCAGGAGACATTTTCATCACCCCTTCAGAAACAGAAACGCTGGGGAACGTGGTTCTAGAAGCGATGGCTTCAGGTGTACCTGTGGTCGCCGCCCGAGCAGGTGGAATCCCAGATATTGTCAACAGAGAGGGGCAGAACGGGTTCCTGTTCACGCCAGGGGATGTGGACGACGCGGTCGGCAAGCTTCGGCAGCTAGTGACATCCAAGAAAACGCGGGAGGCGATCGTTGAGGCAGGGTTGCGGGACGCGGAGGCGTGTGATTGGAGGGCGAGCACTAGGACAGTGAGGAATGAGCACTACGGGAAGGCAGTTTACTCATTCATTCGCAAGGGGCGATTGAGTCTGAGGAGCAGGAAGCCTCTGGCTGTGGCTGCTCCTGCATCGGTTTTCCCTCCCAGGCCGCGTGACCTACATTGACTTGCAATCACTTGGCGATGATCACAATGACTTACAATAAGGGTTGTGGGTGGCTCTTCCTTGCAACTCTGGCACCTGCTGCTACGCCAGACCATACCCCACCGCTCCACTCGTCCCCTCTGCTGCTCGGTTCAGATAATACAGAATACCGGATGAGCTGTAACGAGAAGTGTTAAAACCAGCACCTGCGGTGCTGCCTGTCCGGTCTTGCTGCCTGCCTCAGATTCGGTTCTCCGATACGGATATGTTCCATTTTTTGTTCTGTTCTCCTTTTTGTTGTTGTCCTTTGTTTTTGTTTCTTTTTTTTTTTTCCATTCAGGGCTGAGGGCTCGTACAATATTTTTGTTTCCAACCAACCAATATGGTACATGTAGGTAGCAAGTGTCAACTATCTATACGGGTTGAATATGCCATCCTGAATTGCATACAAATTTGTCATCTCAGTTCTCCAGCTTTCCAACTTTCTTTATGCCGAAGGGGTCAAAAAGCCTGTCTGAAAGGAAACCATGGTACCGTAAGCCCCCGGATAGAAGCGCAGGCCTCGGATAAGCGCCGGCGCTTATAAAAGGATGAGGGCGCTTATATCCGGTCCTCGATTATAAGCGCACCCCCTAAAAATTCATGATTTATTATAAGCGCATGCCAATTTTATATCTGAAAATCAGTCGAAATACAGAAACGAATTTCACCTTACCAGGGAAGTGAAGTATAGTTCCAGTTTCCCACTCACATCTCACTTGCTTCGCGTCTAGTCAGCACGTGCTGTCGCTTTGTCAGCATGTGTTGGCAAAAAATCAATCCCTGCCAAGCTGAGCGAGAATCAGATTCGCGACCCCATATATTTTCGACTCGATTACAATGTGCAAAACGAGATCTACAGATTGGTGTAAAAACTACTTAATTTCATTTTTGCCGTTATATAAGCGCCGGCGCTTATAAAAATCCTCAATTATAAGCCCACCCCCTAAAAAACAGTGTTTTTTTATACCCCCAGGGGCGCTTCTATCCGGGGGCTGACGGGTACCTGGAGGGAAGAGACTGCATGGGAATGCATCAGAACTATTAAAGGAACGTTCTTGGCCGGTGTCAAGTTCCCTGACACAAGGCTACTGACGGCTGCGATCGCTCTATCAGAATACTAGCATAAGAATGATGCATTGAATGAAAGAGTTGGGTACAAGTAGCAAACCCTAGTTGGGGTTGTACCCCATATTGGCTACCCCACTACAGCCTACCAACATATAACACATTACAATTTAACACACCCCCATAGGCAAAGTGGGGGAGAACAAAGGGTCACAAGACCAGTCCAGCAAAGCAACGCAAGCCCAGGGTGGATCACAACGTCACCACACTCCGAGCACAAGCAAAGGCCACAAGGCCAGTTCACATGCAGTGCTAGATATAGTACAAGACAAGCAACACAGTGATCAAAACCTAGCAAGCAAGCAACAAGATATATATAAAGTACAGTACAAAGAAAGTCAAGCAGTAAGCAAATGAGGGAATGTGGACACAAGGCCTAAAGAAGTACAGTGCCGCTGATGATCACTAGGCGGGAGCGCCTTGGTGAAGATATCAGCAGTGTTGGCCTTCGAGTCCACGTACACAAGCCGAAGCTGACCGCGCTGCTGCAGCTCTCGAGCAAGAAAGTAGCGAAGAGCAATGTGCTTCGTCCTGTGCTCCAGTCTGTGCTCCTGACACAAGGCAAGGGCCGCCTTGTTGTCGCCGTACAGAACTGGAGGAGAACTAGGCCGCTCTCCCAAGTCAGTCAGCAGGTAGGTGAGCCAGCGTAACTCCTGTGCAGCCATGGCCGTGGCGTAGATCTCAGCCTCACAACTAGAGCTGAGAACAGAAGAAGAGCGGGTGGACCGCCACGAGACAGAACCAGAGCCAAGGCTGAAGGTGTAACCCTGCGACGACCGCTGCGTAGCCAGGTCGTCCACCCAAGAAGCGTCCGAGTGACCAGTGAGGACAACTCTGTCGCGTCCTCCAAGCACCAGCCCCATGCCTGATGTACTGCACAAGTAACGCAGCACCCTCTTAGCAGCCTCCCAGTGCTCTCGCCTGTGTCTCCCAGGCGCAACGTAACGAGCAAGGATGCTAAGAGGGTACGCGAGGTCAGGTCGCGTGCAAGTCATCAGGTACATGAGGCAGCCTACAAGCTCTGGGTACGGGCCACTCGGCTCTACGGACTCGTCCGAAGGTGGAGCTGAGAGCGAGTGGCTGGTAGCCAGAGGTGTGGCCTGTGGTGAGGAGAACTGGAAGCCGAAGCGCTGAAGGACCTGCTGCACCATGTGTGACTGAGTCAGGGTAATGGTGCGGCGTGCTCTGTCCCGGGTGATCTGCAAGCCAAGGTAGCTACGCAGCTCTCCCAGGTCAGTGCAGGTGTGTCTCTTCTGCAGCTCCGACTTCACACGAGCGAGTGCCTCAGTGTCAGCAGTAGCAAAGACCAAGTCGTCGACGTACACGAGGATGTAGAACGGCGGCAGCGACGTGTCTGTGCGCAGGAACAGTGACGGGTCAGCAGTGGAAGGAGCAAACCCAAGGGCCGCAAGTGTAGTCCTCAGTGTGTCGTGCCACTCGCGTGGTGCCTGGCGGAGACCGTAGACTGGCCGCCGGAGGAGGAAACGACCCAGTAAAGCCAGGTGGGCGGCGCAGCCAGATCTCCTCGTGCAGGCTGCCCTCCAAGAACGCTGTGCTGAAGTCAAGAGAGTGAAGCTCGTAGTCACGCTGAGCAGCAACGTGCAGCAGAACCCGAAGAGTGGTCATCTTCGGGGTGGGGGAGAAGGTCTGGAAGAAGTCAACCCCCTGACGCTGACTGAAGCCTCTAGCAACGTAACGAGCCTTGAAGACAGGTGGAGAACCTGGCGGCCGCTTCACCCTAAAAATCCACATGCCATCGACTATGTTCGCCCCAGGAGGGGGAACCTCGTCGACGTAGGTGCCTGTGGATTTCCAGGATGCCATCTCTGCGTCCATGGCTGTCTGCCACTGAGAGGAGTAGGGACCCGAGATCGCCTCTGCGTAAGAGCGCGGAGTGGGGATGTCTAGTGCATCCGGGTCTCCCTCAGGGGCAAGCAACCAGGCCACGAGATGAGGTACAGCAGCCGCAAGAGAGTCAAAGTCCTCCTGCCTGTCCTCAAGGACGTCCGTGCCAAGAGCACACTCACCCCCGACGGACGGAGGACAGACAGACTCAGACTCAGCAACAAGACTGGCGGCGTAGTCTAGACGACAGGCAGCAGCAAAGTCGACAAGCTCAGCGACCAGGGCAGACGCAGCAGCAGACTCAAACGACGGGTCAGTGACAACAGTGGCGAGAAGACGCGTAACATTCGGGTGGGCAGCACGAACACTGTCAGACTCAGGGTCGGGAACGTCAGGAAGAGAAGACGCAGGAGGAGACGGTAGGGGGACACGCTGTGGACCAGTGGAAGGACGAAGTGCCATAATGTGCGTGCCAGGAACAGGAGGAGGACGCGGACGCGCGACACGACGGCCAGTGGGACCAGTGCGAGCAGTGCGAGCAGCGCGAACAGGCGAGGCAGGACGAGACGCAGGCTCACGACGCTCCGTAAGCGAGTCCGGCTGTGCAGTGTAAGGCACAGGAGCAGGGAGGGGGGAGCCAGGCTGGAGAGGAAGGCCAGTGGAAGACGGGAGGGAAAGAACCTGGCGAAGCACCGTGTCAGGCGGTGGCAAAGCCGACGGCGACGGTGGAGCGAAGAACAGGCGCGACGGCGGAGCTCCGCCAGCACCTCCAGCACCCGCAGCACCAGAAGCACCAGGACCAGCACCCCCCGCCGCAGCACCCCCAGAGCCGGCGACGTCAGCACCAGAGGCCCCAGCAGCGGCAGACCTCCCCTCGCCAGCACCTCCAGAACCAGCAGGACCAACGTCTCCAAGACCGTCAGCTCCAGTGTCGTCAGCTCCAGCAGCTCCAGCACCTCCAGGAAGAGCACCCCCAGCGCCGGCAGCTCCAACTCCGCTAGTACCGCCAGCCCCAGAGGCCCCAGCTCCAGCAGCTCCAGCCTCAGCGCCCCCAGTACAACCAGCCCCGGCAGCTCCAGTACCCCCAGTACGAGCACCTCCAGGACGAGCAGCTCCAGCACCCCCAACTCCAGCAGGGCCACGAGGACGGCGAAAGCGCCGGACGTACCAGTCACGAAGCTGCTGCTGTGTGAGAGGCTCCCGGAGAGACGGCTCAGCACCCCGAACCGGAGCACCCCCAGACGCAGCAACCCCAGGCTCCGTAGGCTCAGTCGCAGCACCCCCAGGCTCAGTACCCTCAGGCGCAGCACCCCCAGGCTCAGCACCCCCAGGCTCAGCACCCCCAGGCTCAGCACCACCAGGCTCCGTACACCCAGTCTCAGTACCCCCAGACGCAGTACCCCCAGGCTCCGCACCCCCAGGCTCCGCACGCTCAGGCACCGTACCCTCAGCTCCAGCACCCTCAGTCCCAGCACCCGCAGCCCCAGCACCCCCAGGCCCAGCACCCCCAGGCTCAGCACCCCCAGGCTCAGCACTCCCAGCAGCACCACCCGCAGCAGCACCTGAGTCACCTGTGACCTCGACAGGCTCAGCAACGGGAGGAGGGTCTACCTGAGAGACACCTGAAGGAGCAGGACCCTGAGGGGGAAGGGGGTCTACCGGAGGGGGACCAGGAGCGAGGAAAAGCGGCGGGGGAGGGAGGGGGGCAGTGCGGTAGGGGAAGAGACGGTAAAAAGGGACCGACTCGTCAAAGGTGACGTCCTGAGAGGCGAAGACCCGGCGCGAGGTGGGGTGGTAAAACTGCCAGCCAGGCGCGTCAGGGACAAAGCCAAGGAAGACACAGGGAAGCGTGCGGGAGGAGAGCTTGTCCGCGGACGTATCGCGGACAAGGGCACGAGCACCCCACACCCGGAAGCGCGACGCATCGCCAACCTCCCCCGTCCAACGCAGTGTGGGCGAGGTCTCCGGCAAGGAGACACCGGGCCAGAGGTTGAGCTGATGCGCGGCGT